ATTGTTTCCACCTGATAGAGCCCTCCCTGATATCCACAGCTGGACCCCAGCTTGTTGCTGGCATGACTCCTTTCCCCAGAGAGCCTAGAAACTGAGAGAATTTGCAGAGATGGACAGTAGGTATACCTTCCCCAGGGGATATGCCTTTCCTTGCATTTACTTAAGATTTTGTTGTGAAGCCAGGAGTGTAAAAGGTGACAACTTGTTTAGTTTGGACAAGCCTCTTTTTTTTTTTTTTTGCTTGGAAAGAGTTGTTGTCAGAAGAGACAAAGAAATTCCTTCAAAGCCTTTCTGAAAAAAACACTCAGGAGCTGGGTAACAGCTAATCTTGGTTTGGGGCAAAGCACTGCTGGGGGGAACCAAAGTTTTCTTCCTGGGTGTCCAGGGCCCTAAGACCTAACCTAACCTGCATGAGACCAGCAACCTCATCCCTTCTTCTCTCACCTTCTTCAGCTGTGTCCAGATGGTAGATAAGTTATTTGGAGTTAACATACGATGACATTTCTGGTGTAGTTCAGTTGTACTTATAAATAGTCCTTTGGTCATGTGTGACTGGTGGAGGTTCTGTCCCACTTGGGACAATTCTAGGAGCATTAAGAAATTATTTCAAAAGCCATACAAGAACAAGATCATAATGACTTCAGATGCTGAAGTAGTAATTCAAAATACACTGTTTTGCAAAGCAAATAGAAAATTGCTTTTTAGGTTGTTAGAAAGATTCCTTGCTCTCTTACCTTAAAAACAAATATTTGATTCATATATAGAAATTTTTCACCCATGTAATATGACTTAATTATACAAATATAATAGCAATTGAACATTCTTACATAAAAAATACAGTATATTATGTTCTCTTATTTATTATATAATACAGTATATATTAGCAGTAATATTTTTATGCCCTTTTCTAATCTGTATAGAAGCGTCAGAGAAAAACTTCATTGTTCAAAAGCTACCCCCAAGAAGCTCTGCTACTTATGTCTGTTTACGCTTTTTTGAAAATCAAAAACACCTCTGATGAAATGCTGCTCAATTTGACAAAGTCTGTGGAATAGCATTTGTAAAAAAAAATTCTTAATGAAAATGCAGACCACTGCATAAGCACATCACTTGGTGATGGTGATATCAGCCATTGAACAATTAGTTGAACATTTATGAGCGTGATGATTTTTTTTCATTTAAAATGACACAGATTAAAATAGTACTCAAGTTTTCATTTTGTGAGTGCATCACCATTATTTGTATTTGAATGGTTTTAAAAGAAAAGCATTTTGTGATGACTGATGCAATCAGACAATACAATGTCAGCATAGTAAATATTTCTACTCATTGATTAATCTATCTATAACTAATTACCTATACATGGTTGAGGAAATGGTGGAAAATTTAGTTCTTTTTTCTTTCACCTTACTAAAGTATCACCTCATCTGTTTATTGATTTTATGAATACTACGTATTTTAGGTCTTAACAGAGGTTCTCTTAACTTTGTAAATAATTTACTTCATAATTACTATTAAGGGTTTGTATTAATAAGGTAGCTTCTGATTTTCATACTGTTCTAAGGGATGCACTTTCAAACAAACCGTAAGAACTTTATTTGAACACTAGATGGCAGCAAATATTTAAAAGTTGCCTTTTTGGTTCTGTCTCTGCATTTTATCCAGTGACTATTCATTACAGTTGGGAAAGGAAGGAAAGTGCAGTATTAGATTTCAGTCCCATATCTGAAACCCAACTGTATTGCATAATCCCTTTTTTCCCTTAGTTTTACTTTTAACTCATGAAAATGTTGAATTTATAAGTCATACAATCAGATACTTGAACAAATGAGGAAAACCTGGGGTTTGTTTTATGTTTTTTTTGTTTTAAATTGTCAGATTTCACTTTCCTCACTAATGAAAATTTTACATTTTCATGATTGTGAAAATGTTTGTTTGGATGAAAATGTTGTTATGTGATTTCGCATTGTGTACTGAAAGATATTTAAATCATGGAAACAAACCAAATACTGAAATTAACCTTGGTATTAGAGGTATTAGATGTATTAGATGTGGGCTGTATTAGATGTTTTCCCTGTAGTAATCTATGAAGAACTGAATGCTTTCGTAGCTACTTCAGTGTATTATGTAAACTATTTACTTAGCAAAACAACACAACAGGGCTTTTCCCAACCTCCTTGTGCTATTGAAGAACAAACTATCACTTGAAAAATATGCAAGACAAAGCTTGGGGTTACTTCATGCTATTAGTCATTGGTATCAACAAGGTTTTGCCAGATTTGTTGTTTAAACTCAAGGCAGATTTGGATTACATTATTATTTTTTACTAGATATTTATGTTATTTCAAAAAAGCACATCTGTATTATTAAGGTCTAGATGCTTAGATCTGAACATGCGTATGAAATCACACTTGCATAAGGTTTCCTTAATTTTTTGCCAAGTCATGTGGAACATTTATATGAAATCCAAATACCAATAAAACAAAATAACTTCAAAAATCTAGTAATGGATCACAAAAAAAAAAAAGCCCAGTAAGAGGGACTTTTGCTTGTTTTAAACAACCAGCAACAAACAAAAAATATTCATGGGACATGCAGGAAAAACTACATTCTCCTGGTAAAACCAGATTAACTGGAATTAAGCAGTAAAATGCTTCTCAAGAATATAACCAATACAAAATAGAGCTGAAGTTATCAAGTAAAAGTGTGTGTATAGAAAATACTTGGTTGCTAGAACTATTGAATTGGCAAAAAAAACTCAGTAAAAAAAAAAAACTAAGGCTGTATACCTGATTCAGCCTTGAAAAATAAATATGTGTATATATGCATATTACCTGTTCAATTTTGTTATGTTTTGCTGTAATAAGAATGTAGCAGGTACCTGTATATCTGAATTGGTAGATCAAAAAGCAGAAAACTATTTGTAAAAACTGTGTGTAAACAAATTGCCAATTATGAGGGCACGATGAAGAAAATCCTAAAGATGGTTGGTATCATTTGGGTTAGGACTTGTGCTTTCACACTGGTATGAAAAATTAATCTTTTAATTTTAGATTAAAAAAAAAGTAAATTTTTTAAAGTATTCTTTAAATCACCCTGAGCATATTCACTAAAGAATTATATTGGTTTGTTTGTCTTTTTTTTTATAACAAGCTTACTTAGTATCATCTTTTAATTGTAAAAATTATAAGTGGTGTATTATCTGGGTCACTATATGTGTAATATTATGTCACAGATCATACTATGTTATGGTATAATGTTATATAAGATGAAGATGTGTAATGATGATTCAACTATGATTATTTTAAAGTAATGTCCTATGATGATTATTTTAAAATAATTCAAGTGTATGGTGTCCCTGCTCATGGCAGAGGGGTTGGAACTAGATGATCTTAAGGTCCTTTCCAACCCTAACTATGCTATGATTCTATGATAAGTTGGAAACATACTGATACTTTCTTTAATCTAGTGCTAATGCTCTGAATTTCAAATGTTTTCAGCCGAATACTTATGTTCAGCTGTAACATAGATGTTTAATTTTGTCTCCTGTTTCCAGATTGCTCTTGGAACAGTAACTAATGTGGAAGAAGCAGTAAAGTGGATAAGTTACACTTATCTTTATGTACGGATGAGAGCAAATCCATTAGTATATGGCATCAGTCACAAAGCTTATCAGGTATAAAAAGCATTTTAAAAAATTCTGTAACCTGTTCTGGGTCTCTAATCCTTCTCTGATGTGAGGATAAATATTTGCTATTTCTACTTAACCTGACATCAGCAATTCTTTTAAAGTGCTTAGAAAAGGAAGATATTTTCTGTAGCGGAGTATTTTTAACACTAAATTAAGAGGCCCCTTCTGTTCACATAGAAATACATTTTAACTGACCACGTTACGCTCCAAAGGACAACATTCATTCCTAACAGACAGTTACTGTAAATTAGCCTATTGTCAGTTTTTCAGTTTCGTAGGCTAGATATAAATGATAGAATAAAGCATTCTCGAGTTGCTTGCTTTCCCCCATCCCATCACCTTTTTTTTTTAAATCATCATGTGACATCTTATAAAATGACATTTTTAATTGAGGGGGTTTTTTCTTTCTTGTGATTTAGAAATTATAAGGGTTTTCTATTCATTTGTTTCAATTTGGCTTTGTTTATTTCGAGTGTTCCATGCAGGATATAAAGCAGAGCACAGTTACATAAGGGGGGGGGGGTGTCAAGTTTTTTTCATTACATGTAATTTTTAGGAATTTAACAGTTTATAGATTATCTGAATATTACTAGTTTTTTCTGTACAGCTGTTTATAAGCATAAACATGATAACATAGTTTGGACATGGGTAACTGAGCCTAATGCAGGTGAAACTCTCACAAGTGCACAGTAACTACAGTTTATTACACGTCTTGAATCTATTTTGTGATGTCATAATTTGTCATGATACTGTGAGCCACAGTTGTTAGGTCATAGTAACATGTAGAGATAGGTGTCAGGAGGTATTTTTTGATAACTTTTGTGTCTGATACTGGAAACTGCAGCAGAAGTAGGTAGACTATTTTTTGAGCAAGCTTCTACAGACACGTCTAGACCTCTGGTCATCTCAAATCTGTTTTCTATAAAAAGCCTTACAGTATATTACCATATGTTAATATAATACTATATAACACAAATCACTGAGTAATAGATAAATGAAAAGCAAAAATTGATTTGCTTATGAGAAGAAAGTGGTTGTCCCATTCCTATAAATGCCTTTTTTTAAAATAAATCAGATTTTTTTTTTACCAGTGTTATTAACAAATTTTAGATTAAAAGAAATGTATCCATGGTGGTAATAACTGGTAAAAAAAAAAAAGTAATAAAACACTAACAGAAATATGTTTGTAAATTTAAAAAATAATAAACAAGGGCTGTTACCCCTCCCCTTGCTTTTGTGTTTTTATTCAGCTGTTGAGAATTTGGAGATTGCCAGAAGTTGTCTTTTCCTGCCACTAACCTCCTTTCTACCCCTTCTGATTTGATGTGCTAATAATAAACATTCCTATTTTTGTGTTAAGACAGTAGCAAACTATATCAAGTTGAAGTGTTATCCATTCATGTAGGATCAAAACAATGCCAATCACATTATTTTCTACATAAACCAGTTTTAAACTACAAAGCTAATGTGCTATAGACAGTATACGGATGGTATAGTGCCAGATGCAGGCATAACCACAGATTTGCTCACTTTAGGCTGTTCTGTTCCTTCTGTTCTGGGTATAGGTAGCCAATTTTCATAATTGTTGTCTTATTGTTTCTTAGTAGTGTTGCAGCATGCCAGTTTCTATCCGTTTTGGCTGACAGTCAATGCTCCCCATTCAGAATACAAATATCTGCATAACCATCAAGGGTCGCACTTCCCAGCCGTTCAGTGGGTCTGAGAAAATGCATACTCATTTTCCGTTCTCTTTCCAAGGGTGCTCACCACACCCAGTAATTACTTTAGGGCACCAAATGCCCAGACTGTCTGCACAAAAGGTGTGTTGCACCACACAGGGAGACCAGGGCAAGCATGCATCTGCCCCACACCCCCACATTCTGCACCCCCACGTGTTGTCTCTGGGATATTACTCTTCCCCACCTAGCCTGTTTCTGGGATATGCACAGTAGGCTGCTCCAGGCACAGTGCTGTGATTTGTGACTTTTCAAGTTGTTTGCTAGAGTGCCAATAATGCCTTTTACTGAGTTGAAAATTATGATATGAAGCAAGTAGAAGCAAACAGTGGAAGGAAAAAGTGGAGCAAATGTGTCATATTAGTGAAGTCTGTGGTATGAATTACAGGCACCTTCTCATACTTTTAGGGTTCCAAAGAAAAGGTGGTCCCTTTGTCTGTTTTCTCTTTTTTGTTCCACTCTCTGGTGTTCCCACAGTTAAGCAGAGCTTTTTATCCCCATAAGGTGTATGTTTATGTTTAGAACATCTGTAAAAGTTAGAGGAGCTTGTCCCCAACACTTCTCTGTTAGCTAGAGGAAAAAAATTTGAACAAGTACATAGTTTATCATGCATTCTTAAATTTCCATGTGTATACTCCAAACCTGCTCTGTTTCTCCCTGGGGGCAGGACAAGGTTTGTTTTTGAGAGTCTGGCTGTTCTAGGCTGGATCTTTTACTCTGTTGGATTTCTAATTATGCAAGTTCAACAAGAAGGGTGCTGACCATGGATTCTATAGACTAGAATATTGCTTCACAGCCTTTTCCAGTTGGTGACCTTTCCTTTAAAGTTAAAACCTTTGTTTTTGTAAAAAAAAGTTAGTCTATTGTTACAGCTTTAGCTTTTTTATATGTAAGACAAAAAGATTGACAGATAATTTGGACTGCCAAAGAAGTAGGGAAGTGTGTTGATATTTTAAGAAAATTTTTTCCCACTCTTCTGTTTTAAGAAATGTTAAACATCTGGCATCCTGATCACTTTTTTTGACCACCTTCGATCTGAAATCTGACCTCAATGCATGACTTACTGTTGAGAAAAGCACTGTAGACCTTTGCCATCTTAGCTTTTGACATGAAACTAAGGCAAGCCATAACTAAGAAGAAACAGCTTCAGAGTAACTGGCAAAGATGGGGAATATTAGGAACTAGCCTTGCAGCTGCTTTGTGGAGATGGCTGTATTTGTCTGCAGCTTCACTGAATGTGAGATGAAGCACTTTGGCACAAAGACGAAACTGAATCCTGGCCTAGGGAAAACCAGAGCAAACCAAGGCATAGCAATTTTAAAGCTTACTCCTTTTTGTCGTCTCGGTCATATATCTCTGGTGCAGATTTACCAAGAGGGCTGGTGAGTGACTTGCCCTGTAGGAAATCTGAGCTATACAAGCCCTGAAATAAGAATGATGCCTGTGGACTAGAACAGAGTTATAGTCCTTTCAAATTTGGTGACTTGTGTAATTAGAACCGTATCTCAGGTGCACATATACCAGAGGGTTAACATGACTATGAATCCCTTTTCACTCATCCTTGTCAGTGTGGGTATCCCAGGTGTGTATGTGGAAACACACAATTATACAGCAGTCCTGCTCAGCTGGGAGTTTTGCCCAGCCTTGTATGTACTAATAAGATAATGTACATCCTTACTTGAACAAAATGTCCAAGTTCCTGAACTTTGATATGAATAGAAGTTCTGTTTGACACAACAAGCTCCTCGTGTGCTTTTAATGTGAATGTTTACACAGTACATCAATAACTCAGTAACTGCAATATCCCAGCTGACATACCCAAAGCTTTTGGGGACATAAGAAGTTTTTTGCTAGCAAAAATTTCAGCCACGCAATTAGAAGCTTATTCTGTTTGGGATATAAAGCCATCCCTATGTCAGATACCCAGGCAAGGTATATCCTTAGCTATTTTCATAAATAGAAGATACCATAAGATGGCATGTTTCTGTGGAGTGATATAGTAATGATAATTTCATGAAGACTGTATTATCACTAAAACTTCTTTTAAAAACTTCAGTGTAAATTTATTTCATAATCATGCTACTTTTTCGTAAGTAGTAGTAATCTACATTGCATTGATAGTCTCGAAGCATTCTAAAAGAAATATTATCCTGATTATTTTGTCATGTACAGACAGTTCTTGGTCAGTAATGTCAGCTAACTGTTATTAGTGAGATCTCAGGAAAATCATTTTATTTGACTTCTGCCTTTGTGTGACTGGATTACCTCAATAAAATTATTTATTTAACACTTTTTCTTTTATACAAATATGTGTGTTTCATGTCTAGATGGATCCAGGTCTAGAAAAGCACAGAGAACAATTGGTAATTGAAGTCGGCAGAAAACTGGACAAAGCCCGCATGATTCGCTTTGAAGAGAGAACTGGCTTTTTTTCTTCAACAGATTTAGGCAGAACCGCCAGCCACTACTATATTAAATACAATACTATCGAGGTAAATTATGGTGTTCTATTTCTGGGGTTTTTTCCTTCTTTTTGAACCTATAACCTAAAATAGTTGTAAGATATTACAGAATATGTAGCTGATTTGTTCAGTATATTTTCAAATCATACTTACCGAAATGGGGAGAGATGAAATAGAGAGGAAAAAGAAAGAAACTGTATGTAAAGCAATACTGAAAATCTAGACTTGATGTGAAGTGAGGTCTGAAATTTTATTGTCAATCCCTTCTTTTAGGTGAATTATAAAAAACATTTTGATATCAACAGGGTGCGCAACCACTGATACGTGATAGCACATTCAAGTTTAGAGTCTGATAACAAGAAAGTTTTTCTGCATGAAATTCGTATCACCTTGCCAACCTTAAACAACTTTTAGCACTGTAATCAGATTGTGTTGTAAATGTGTTGGGAAAATTCATTTGTACGAAACTTTGTAGTATTGGAAGCTTGATTTGATGTACACATTCATCTTACAACCTTTTTTTAGGAAGTAAGTCTTTTTCTTGAACAAAAGCTGAAGACTCTGAGTTAATAATGTTTAACTGTTTACTGTCACTATGTATGATTAGTATCACATATTTATTCACTCAAACATGTCCTAGACTTTTTTTGAAATGGCCAAAGACTGCATGTCTCCTGATTTTGTGTTGCCTGAATATAAAGGCACTGTTTTTCTGAAAGTGCTAAGAAGTCATTCTAGAAATTGTTCCTGTTTAAATTGTGTCACTTCAAATAACTTACATTTTCATAGAATCATAGAATTAGGGTTGGAAAGGACCTTAAGATCATGCTTTTTGAAATCTTAGTTAATCTTTCTTTCTTTTGTGCTGTATGTGTATTTTTATTTTCAGTGTTAAATCGATTCATTTTATTTTTAACAGACTTTTAATGAATTGTTTGATGCTCATAAAACAGAAGGTGATATTCTTGCTATAGTATCAAAAGCTGAAGAATTTGAACAGATAAAGGTAAAGTTGTATATTTTCATACAAAGAATGTCTTAATACTAGATGCTTCTGTAGTACTCACTCCATAAATAGTGTCTACAGACCCAAGTTTTGTTAAATAATAAGCACCATAATAGGATGTTTTCTAGTGAGCATAATTGCCAGGAACTATATATGTCTCACTCAAATTTATATGTAGTTCAGCTTGAACTGTAGTGCACATTTAATAAGTAGGTATGGATCTCTGAAAATTCTTTTTAAATGCTTTTAAGAACTTTTCTGCTCCTCAATTATTAACAGGTGAAGATAAGTGTCCGTTGGAGTGGTGCACCCAGGGATGAGATAGTTTTTCTGTTTGAAGTTTAAACCCTTATTACATGTCTCCATGAACAATTTGCTTTGTCAGAAATGAGGCAAGACTCACCGAAGTTAACTCTGCGATATACTTCATGCAGAGAACAATATTTGATTAGCAGAATGATAAAATCTGATGAGTTATTTTCAAATTTGAAATCTAGAAAGTTGTTGTAGCAGATTTTCTTGTGCAGGCTAGATTACTGTACTATTATACTCAGTTCAATTCCAACCTCCTTTTTGCCTCCTGTGTGAGTAGGACACAAGACAATTCATTGCAAGCTGGCATGAGCTTGTTTGCCCATGCTTCTATCTCATGGAGGTGCGAGCCAGACTCCACAGGGTTTATTAGCTTGGGCTCATTGCCATTTTATGACAATTACAAACTTTCAGATCAGAGTTGGCTCTCATTCACCTGGCTCTGTGAACTGGCTGTGTGAATCCCTCACCATCTACATATTTACATATTTGCATACATTGTCTGAATATTACCATATCTTTATCTAATGGAGAAATTCTATTTTGCTGTAATCTCTTCCATTATAGAAGATAATAAGCAGTGAGGTTGAGGTTTCACACACAAACATTGACACAGGCAACGTTTTCCAAGCTAGAAGGGATTTTTTTATGATAGTGATACTGCCTTGCTAATTCTAAATTTAGCATAACTGAATATTTAAAAGGAAAGCATATGGAAAATATGATGTGATATGTTTTTATATTTGTAGTAAAGCTAGTAGTGATGCTTCTGGACTAAAGCATAGTTTTTCTAATTTAGTATGATTTTCTCATATTTGTATGGTGTGGCATCAGTGCACCATCATTTCCAGTTTCTTGTGATTTATTTGCTGTGCAGCTCTGAATGATTTTCACAAGAATAACTCAGGATTTATCCCTCTATGTGATACAGATTGTGACTTTTGTTATTATGAATCATGTCTCCATAATGCCTTTAAACATTCTGTAGTTTAAGACAGGTAAGTCACCAGTAGCTGGAATACAAATCTGGATTTGACTTTTACTGTGTAATGCAAGAGCAGAAAAAATTATCAGAAGTGCTGTTGTACACAGAGCGTACTATTCCCCTGACACTGGAGTCATCTGTGATGGTTGTATCCTTCTATTTTTTTCTTTCCTGTAGGACTAGTGGCTGGATAGTTGGGAATTTTATCCCAATTGTCTTAGGGTATTTTATATGTCAGGTAGTCAAGTCCAAATGAAAATTACTTTCAGATGGTTCCCTGCAGGGACCAAACATTTACCCTCTTTAAATAAGTTTTACACTAACAGACTATCAGTAAATCAAAGAATATGTAGATTTATGCTGGTTTTGCCATGTAAGGGTCATCAGTTAGAATGTGAAATGTTATGCATTATTCAAACCATAGATATTAATATTTCTTTACTCATGTTAAGACTTAATCTTATTAACAGTGAAAATTTTAATATCATGAATCATAGTACTTCACAATTTTGAGATAAAAATATATTATGCCACATGCAAACTATGTAACTATAATGAATACATTTAATGTTTATTCAAGATTGCCCTAATCCAGATGGACAGAGGTTTTACTCTGGTCAAATAAAAAATGAAATCTCATCAGATGAAGGATGGTAGGGTCAGAATATTCAATTTTTGTGGCATATCAAATTTTTGTATGTCAATGGCAACCTTAATAGATGGTGATGAATTATAAAATGTAATTGTGTCACTATTAAGATAGTTTCAATTATGGTCTATTAGCTACGTTGTGGAAAATGTGGGTTTGCTGCTTTTTTTTCTTTTTTTTTTCCTCTTTAAAACTAGACTCCATTTGAAAATAATGTAACTATGTTACAAGGAAAATTTGATTTCAGTGTAAAAATTCTTATCAAATTGCTCCAGCCTCTTCATAATCTATAATTGTGTTTTAGGTAAGAGAAGAAGAAATAGAAGAACTAGATACCTTACTGAATGATTTCTGTGAACTTCCTGCTCCAGGAGGTGTGGAAAACAATTATGGAAAAATTAATATCCTCCTTCAAACATACATTAGCAGAGGGGAGATGGACAGCTTCTCCCTTATTTCGGATTCTGCGTATGTTGCACAGGTAAAAATAGCGATTTTACGTATCTCTTGCTCTCTTCTGCTGTTTTCATTCTCCCAGTTGTTTACAGTTACGTAAGCAGGCCTTGATCTGCAATTTTTTTGAACATTTTCATGCAAATTGATCTGAAAATCCAAGCTGTGTGTGCGTGCATGTGTGGTATAATGTTTAAGTAGAAAAGATTTCTGAAAGCCTATCTTGGGAGACTGTTGAATTTTTTTTCTCATTATGAATGTCCTTTTTGTTCGTATTACCCCTGTAGTCTTTTTGTATTAGTGGTTCTAACTGTGTTTGGACAGACATTTTATTCTTAATTTACCTGGGTTTCTTCTAAATCTGGAAAACTGTTGCAATCTGTTTCTATGGTTTGTGTACCTTTATACTTCATTCTGCAGAACATAAGCTATGTCTTATAGACATAACTTGGTTTACGCAAGAAATGTGTGCTATTAAAATTTTATTGCTAGACAAAATCATGCAAAATTATGATTTGCAAAATCAAGCAAAAATATCGGTCTATATATTTGTTTGTCAGTTTGAATTGACACCTGAATGGATGATATTTATACAGCGTGTTTAGTTATTACACAGAATAATAAGAGACCTGCAAGTCTGTAACACAGAACTGCTTGCTTACACAACTAGACCCCATCTTAGAAAGAAAGGGGTGTTGCCTGAAAGTTCAGAATCCTGGATCCAGAAAAACTTGAAGGTACAAAATGCTCATAGACAATCCCAGATGTGCAACAATAATGAATGTATAAAATAGATTATAAAGTTTTACCTTTTAGCCCATTCTATTTTTTTTTTTTTTTTTCTTGCTCAGCAACATATTGCATTTAATCATTTTTGTCTCATCCTTAGGAAACCGTTTTGGAAAGAATTGATTGTAAAATTGCGTTTGGTTGGTGCCAAAGATGAGAGTTAAATATTTAAAAGTATATGTATTCTTCAGCAAGATTTTCATACTAGCATTACCTTATTCAGAAGTGTTTACATTTCATAGCATGTATGGGTTATAAATGAGAAAATTCTGAAATCATTATGCACATCATAGAAATTGTGGTTCTTGCACAGCAAGATCATTTTCAGTATGATTCTTTTAATCTTTGCTTTCAAGACAATTGCTTTTATTTGTCTGCCTCACTTATAGCATTTTTAGTGAGGCAACATGGTTGTCTTCTCAGATCTTCAAAAATTCTACATGTGGAACCAGTGCTACAAATTGGGAATATTTTTAATTGGATAGTGACTATTAGGAAAATCATTTGTTCTGTCTAAGTAAATGTGCTGCTCTAGTAACATATGCTTCTTATCACAACCAAATTATTTCCTATTTTTTATTTCTTTTGGCATTGCAGAGCCAGCAGAGAATGATTGTATTCTATTCAATGAATCAAGTACAGAATTGTTAATAAAGGGTAGGCCAAAAAAAAAAAGAAAAAAAAAAACCCAACAAGAAAACAGAACTTAATAATACAGTTTGATAAGTTTGTGAAAGAAATATCATAACTTATGTTTTCAGGATAAGACTGACCTCATTCAAGCTTATGTTATTAATTAGTTTTTTCCAAGTCCAAAGCAGAATTATACAGTTTGGTTGTACAATAGTCTCAGAAGATAACATTAAAAAAAAAAAGTCACTACTGTTCAACTTCTGTGCAAACGTCACGAAATTCAGTGTGAAATGGGATGCTATTATGGAAGTACAACTGAAGTAAAAAATTGAAACTTGAATTTCATAGAAACTTTCTGTGTGGGCAGAGAAGGAAGATATTAGGAACGGTAGGTGAATTTCTTTCAGAAGTGATTAAGACAATAAATTTAGAACTCCCTAATGTTAGCACAACTAGAAATTCTATGGCAGATCTGCCATTACTTTAATTAGTTGCACATGTTTCTTTTCATAATTTCTGTAGGCAACTGTGAGGTGGTTCTGCCACTAGACAGTGATGGAAAAAGTAATTTTCAAGAATGTTTGAAATAAATTTGAAAAGAAAAATCTATTGTTATGGTTTGTCAAAAATGAGTCTATGGGATCCTTTTCATTTTACAAAGAATACTTGAGAGAATGACATTTTTGCTTTTTTTTCACTCTCCAGAATGCAGCTCGTATTGTTCGAGCTCTTTTTGAGATTGCCCTTAGGAAACGTTGGCCTGCAATGACGTATCGACTACTGAATCTCAGCAAAGTCATTGACAAGCGGCTGTGGGGCTGGGTTAGCCCTTTGAGACAGTTCTCAGTGTTACCACCATCAGTACTTTCAAAGTTGGAAGAGAAGAATCTCACTATAGACAAGATGAAGGACATGAGGAAAGATGAAATAGGTGAGAAATCACCAATGCTGATCTGCTTAAACTGTTAGTAATCGATGGGCAAGTTAGAACTAAATCTGAGCCATGCATTAATATACCCACCATGGCCTGGAAGCCATGTAGGCACATTTATATGGTATTATGCTCTAAACAACAAAGAAGGTTTATTCAGTCTCCACAACTTGTAATATGGCGCAACTGTGAGGGTAGGAATAGCCCATGTCCTGCCAACCCCAGAATACATATTGAATAGAAATGTATGTTGATATGTGTTTATGTTGATCTGTGCTTCCTTTCTTGCACATATTACATAATACACTACTATAAAAGGCATTTTTATTTTTTTATTTTTATATTTTTATTTTTACCAGTTATCAAAATATGGCCTTTTTTTTTATCAAAATACTATTAATGTGAAAAAGAATAGAAGTAGATTATTATGTCCTGGAATACTATCAGTAAATGGCCTGCTTCGGAAACACTGCGTTAATTTTCATTGAACATGGAGAATTCATTGTCACTAGTGTCATTGCAGCAAAACCTTAATGGAATTTTTCAAAGGATTTGACACTTTGGTAATGAGAAAATCCACAAGGCTGCTGCTAGACATAACAACAATTTCTAGTATGTGTGTATAAACTGTGGAGCATAAACTGTCCACCAGCTGATTAAGTTAAAAAAAAAAAGAAAAAAAGAATTGCTGGTAACGTGTTTCTTTTTCCTGTATTAGTGTATTTTTTTTTTTAATTTGGGCTTTCTTTGCACCTGTTATCACAAAGTGGTTGAGAAACAAACTGCTGTTTTTTAAAAATCTGGTTTTAGAATAAGTATACAATTCATAGTCACTGTTTTTTAGAATTTATGACCTGTGACTTGACAATTCTTTCATTTGGCAAAAGAACTACTTTCTTAATTTAGGCAGCTTTACTACGTGCCTATTTAGGTTGGAAAAAGCTGAATAAATATGCAAAACTTTGCAGAATTAGAGGCTTTTTGTTTTATAAGTTAAGCTAAAGTATCATGAGAAAAAATTTTAGCACTGCAGTATAATAATAATTTTACAATTTTAAATGTATTAAAAATATAACATTGTATTTGAAAAGCTAGCATTATCATGGTTTTCTCTTCAGAAGCGTTATAGCACTTTTTATCCAGATTTGTTAATTTGTTGTGTCCTTGTGTGCAGTCTCTTTAATACTTAATATTCTTTTTTATTAATTGTATTACCGTGGTGTTTTTTTTCTTTTTTCACGCTGCTTTCTCCCAGTACCTACCTATGGAAAAGCAAGACGTTTTCTATTAAGATCCAAAACCAGTTTTACTTTCTTAAACATAGTGGAACTAGTATTGACAGCATGGAAACGCACCAGTATATGTCTATAAAATGTCTAGTTTAGTTTTATGTTAATGAAGTTTGAAAGTAGATGAAACATGGGATTTGACTGTGAAAATATGTCAAAAAGAATGACATTTCATGTTCTTCAGCCTTGTAAACATCAAAGCAGGTTGATGGGTACATTTGTGTGAAATACTGTTATGTGGCATACTTCTTCCTGTCTGGCCTCTCTTTCTGACACGAGGGTGCGAAGGAAGTGCTTGCTTGGCAGCCACCTTATTTTTCTTTGAATTCAAAGCCATGTTCAAATGAGAAAAAGCATAGTTTCCAGGTGCTGCCTTGTTCTCTGACTCCATATAACTAGTTTCGGTCTCATTTCTTCCTTTTTAAATGCTATTGTGACCTTGGACATAGAATAAAAAAGACAGGAACTAGCTAGCTAACTCAGTCCATGGCTTAGGGATAGTTAAAACATCAGATGGGTGCCAGCTCTTCCAGTGAATGAAGAGAATTTTGTGTGCACTGATCCTGGATTCCAGTGTACCACACCAATCTAGGCACTATTGCAGTGTAACCCTGGAGTTTCCAGCAAGACAAGAAATCACTCTGTTATCTGAGATAAACAGCCCTGGTTTTTCAGAATACAGATGACAACTGTGGATAAGCAAAATTTATTCTTCTTCTGTTAAACATACTATTTTCTCAAATAGTCACCTTTTGTTCAGAAGGTTTTACTATTTCTTAAATGCCATCAATAGTTTTTAATAGTGTGACGATTAAAAAAAAAAAAAAACGGGTTGGGGGAAGAGAGAGAGGAGAGGGTTTTACATTTTCTAGAAGCTGGGAGAGGAGCCTTATTTTCCACTAGCAGGTAAGTGTACAAAACCTCAGTGCTGTCCTGTACAAGTACAGTTCACCTCACACATCGTGATATAGAAAGTGATTTTTGTCATGGAAAAGTCTACTTGCTGACATAAGCTTATTGAGTATTTGGCACCTGCCTTTATTTAACAGTTTCTGAGGTTTAACCTCTAACTGCAAAAGCCAGTCACTGTGCAAGTATGCTATAATACTGCATGTATCACCAAGTTGTAACAATAGAATAGTTTTTGGTTTTAATTGTCCACTTGCTGGAGGTGCACTTACTTCACCAACTGCAAATTAAACTGATTAAATATGTGTTAAAACATTTGCATTAGGAATTTGCTTCTTAAGCAAGGTCACCATTCATTACTTCAGAGTATAGATTAACACCTGTGTGGAGCAAAATCTGCCAGTGTATTAAACAAGGAGGAACAAAGAGGGAAGGTCAGAATCAATATAAAAAAAAAATACCCTAGCAATTGCAAGATGTTATGCCCCTAAATTTTGTGCAATAGCAAGAAAAGGTTTGTATCACCTTGTCACTTAGCATGTAATGCGAATAATAGGATTTCTTCCCATGGGAAAGCGTGCACAGGGCACATCACAACACATCATGACACAACATCGGAAAGTATCATTAGCCATTTGTAAGGTAGCTTTTAACAGTGAGTATCTATGGCCATTACAATTAAAATCTAAAATATGTTCCACATAATTATATAAGGAATCTCAGTGATAAATCAATCTTCTTTCCAGCTAGAAGTTGAAAATTTTTTAGAAAAAAAAAAAAAAATCACTGCTACATAGTATGTTGTATATTTAAAATGAAGAGCAAGGGAACAGAGGTTTCAGTTGTAAAATACAAGTAGGAAATTTTTTTAATGAATATAATCACTTTATTGCGTTAGTTATCATGACTATGATAGGAAATAAAATCCATTGCAACATTAGTTTTCCCTTTGTCTCAGTTACATACTGGTGTATCCTGAAAGATAGAGCTGCTGTGAGATGTTTACTAGTTGTGTGCATTTTTGAGTGATTTACCTTTCTTCAGTTTTATGAAAAGTGTTCTGTCTGCTTTGAATCACTACACAGGAATTGTAGATGTTCAAATGCATGCCCTTCATTAAGTAAAAGGTCAGCATTCATGCTTTAAAAAAGAACTGTATGGCTTGGTAAGAGCCTGGTCAAAAAGTCAGTAAAGGAAGTGGAACTAGCTTGACATAATATGTTTTCAGTGTCAATTCTTAATAGTTATTTTAACCCCTTAGTTATAGCCAACAGTGGGGTTAATACTGATTTTTCTAAGCTATAAATTGCTAATTCAAGTTAAGTATTACAAAATATTCAGACACGCCAGGTCAAGGGAGTCAGACATTTATGCACCTAAAAGCAAAACAAGCAAGCAGTAACACTTCTAAAAGCATATTTGAAAGTCAGAGTTGTATTATTTTTCTTGTAAATACAAATTTGTTACATCTAATGTTTTCTTGACAGGTCATATGCTGCATCATGTGAAGATTGGGTTAAAGGTAAAACAGTGTGTCCATCAAATCCCCTCCATCATAATGGAAGCAACAATTCAGCCAATTACCCGCACGGTCCTCCGAGTTCGGCTGAACATCACTCCTGACTTCACATGGAATGATCAGGTATAAAAAAGGAGGTGGAGGGGGGATGGGAAGCATTAATTTAGCTTCAGTAAAGACGATCACAGGGAGTCCATAGCTGTTAGGATAAGGAAAAAAAAAAATTATTTTACCTAAAACCAAATTCAGTAACAGGACTGGAATGACCTTTAAGACTTTTGTAGAAGAAGGCACCCAAAGATATTCTTTTTATTTCCACTAGTTGTTACTGGATTGTGCTGTTTATAACATGCTGAAGCAAGTTCTTATACTGAATATTAACAGCAGTCATATATAGATTTGAGTTATATGCCCAAAAAGGAGAAGCAAGAAAAAGGGAGATACGCATGGTTGTCTGAACTATGAATGAATGTCGAACACAGAAAATAAAGCCTTGAAATGCAGTTCGTGTATGCCACGTTCTGCTCCTCTTTATGGCATTACAAAAGTACATTCACAACATCAGTGCCTTTTTTTGCTGTTGGGACTCATATGAAGAGAAAAGCTGTGATATGTTTGGAAATATATTCATCTATATTTTATGGTGCAAATTTGTACCAAAGGAATTGTCCTAGTTGCACATTTAGATATACCCAATCCCTTTGATTCAGGATCTGTTCATTACGAGTCAAGATAAATCTAAATGAAATACAAATGTCCACATGGGGGCATTGTATTGTTGCTGGTACTTCTGAAACTTTCTACAGAAAAAAGGCAAAGATACCTCAATGGGCAATCATATTTTCTTTTTACATTCGTATATTTACACATTTACAAATTATTCTGAAAGGTGGCTATTAGATATCTGTTCTTTTATTACAAAATAATTTTTAAATCCCTTAGATTATGAATTTACCTTAATCACAAGTATATTAGAGTTTTATTCCACAAACATTTAGAATATTTTAAGTTTTATTTTTGCTGCCTAAAGGCTTTTTTTTTCCTTTGGACACTAGCTTATGAATAGGAGATTAACAATTTTGGATTTTGTTTGCTACCTGGATTTATTACAGAAATATTTGAATGAACTACTAGCATGAATTATAACATGAATAACTGTTTGATGTCTTATTTATGTGCAACACTTTGGAAGGTAAACAAGCATTACTTTTTAGGATTGAAACAAATGTTTATTACTCAATCTTTCATCCGCTTTACCTGTAATCTGTTAAAGACAAACAAAAACCTCACAACTGTTCTTCATATTAAGCTGTTTCTTAATACAAAGTAATTTCTTGATCCATTTTTACATTTTTCCACACAATCTAGGTTCTTCTATATTTTTACAAATCAAAAGGGGCGCATGTAGAATTATATTCTCTTAGTTTGATTCTGAAATTCTAAAGTTATAGCACAATGTCAGCAAAAATCTGACAAAAACCCCTTGACAGAGTTTTCCTAATGGTTGCTTGGAAATATTATGTTGTTCTATCAATTCAACTTATGGAGCTGTTTTTGTGTAAATTTGTATATTGGTACTCATCAAAACTTGGAAAACTTTGTTTTTCCTTCTTTTTTTATTTTTGTAAGGTAGCTGTTGATTTTATTGCTTCTTCAGTAAATAATCTTTTATTACTGTAAATAAATTTTAAAAAGCTGTTAAATTTTAATAGTCTCTAAAAGTTACCATCTCTCTTTTAAATTCAACCACGGACACTCCAAAACTGCTTCTCATCATCACACAGTATTTTAGCAAGGTTATCAGAAGACTACAGAAGACTATAGGAACTTACAGGTATAGCTGCAATTGCTACAAAATCACACTAGCAAAAATTCCATTAAAAGAATGGGAGTAGTCAAATAAATTCAGATTAGTAAAAATTTAAATACTCAACTGGAATACCTCACTTTGGCTAACATTTCATGGGTTTAAGGCTGTTCCTTTACCTGGATACTTAATTCAGAACAATGTTATGACAAATAAGCTTGCCTTTACTTAAGAAAGAAGGTATGTTCAGTAGTCATGAGATACAGTATCATTTTGATCTTTAATCACTGCACTTTTCAGTGTTGGGAGTCTTTTAGTTCAGTACAAAAGTGTGAGCCATATCCCAGTGGAAAATACTTATAGTATTAGAAGCAAAGGACTATAAACATACCCAGGCAGAGCAAGTATGTATTGCAGCCAGGAGCCCAGCAGAAATAGAAATAGAACAGTGCAACTAGTATTAATTAGAGACACAGTTGTAGAACAAGGGTTGCCCAAAATCCAGGTATGTGTCAATTGTTAAGAGCTCCCCAGAGTTCTAGAGAATCGTTACTGGAGAGCGTGTTGCATTGTCTGTTCCCACATTACCCTGATGAAGTAATAGTCTCACTGTAATTTTTCATAATGTCACCTACAGTTACCTGTGTCCTTTCAGTTTCACTGCTTCACTTCCCAATGAAGCTGCTCGTGAAATCCAAATATAATGAAAATGAATGACAGTGACTTTACCGTCCACCTACTTATCTATTGTGCAACTGTATTAAAGAAAAAAAAGGCGCCGTAGTTCTACTCTTAGTTCGTATTTTTATCTTCAAAAACCAGCACAGACTGTTTTCCAGCACACACACAACAGTGAATTATGCTGAAAATAATGTGTCACTGTGAATCAATACCAGATTCCTATAGCATTAAAATTGCCATTAGACGCAACTACATGCTTTGTTTTTTTTCCTATTAAGTAGAGTTTAGGAATAATTCCAAGTCTTTTTTGATCATCATGCTGGTTTTGTACCTTAACACAGTTGTAATCAGAAACATCAGAAATCTATGTTCATTTAATAGTATATCTTCCATACGCCTTTACTATGCATTTTTCTTTTCCTAGATAATAAAATGCTTGTACATTAGCACAAGTCATTTATCTGACAAAGAAACAAAAATTCTTAACTGAGCATCCCACCTAGCTATGGTTTGTGGCTGACATTGCACAATAAGGTACACAACAAAGCAAACAAAAATCTAGGATGAAATAAAGTGTTGCCAGATGGCGTGGGAATCATCAAGAGACAGCTCTATTTGTCTTCTCACTTCACCTGTAGCAATGACTAGATCTGTAGCCTTCTGAATCCACTTACTATATCTTTCTAGAGGAGAGGGGGTGAGAGAGAGGAAGAGAGAAATATCACAATTCAGCGTCCAATTTTTCCTGAGATGTTTTTGACTGAAAAATCCGCGTTAAATAGCGAAAGACAATCCTCTATACAGAATCCAAGGAAATAAATACAAGAAAGAAAAAGATAAAAAGGAGTAGTTCTTTTTTAGGAGCCTAGAGGAAACCCTGGGAGTTCAATCTGTTTATAAACAGGCACTAGCTTCTGTTTCGTTTGTGTCATATCCATTTATATTACGCATACCTTAAGCAAACTCTTACTGAAACATAATCTTTAAGCAGACTGGTCTAATCAGAAATATTACATTTCTCTTACCTTCTGTATTCCTTTGTAAGCCTCTATCATTTATAAATATATCCGATATACCTGGTTAATCTAGAGAACCTCATTACAACTATAACAAGCTATCTTTTCTACTCTTAAAGGTACACGGCACTGTTGGAGAGCCCTGGTGGATTTGGGTGGAAGACCCTACTAATGATCACATTTACCATTCAGAGTACTTCATTGTTCAAAAAAAACAGGTAATGAACTTTACTCAGAATCTCATAGCAAGACAAAAATGAAGTTAGTGAGATGTAGATCTGTAAGGCCAAACAGTATTTTGACCTAAGCATATTTTCGAATCAGTAGCACGGCTTTCTATTTCAGATGTATATGATAAGCTTGGAGATCCCCAAAGATGTTTTCTAATCTCAGATGTCCCTTTTTCTCTTCCTTCTTTGATGGGACAGTTATTTCCAGGTGAACAAAAGGAAGACTGTAATGATTTTGTCTGTTAAAGAAAAAGATGAAAAGCCAGCTTCATTTTTATCTTTTGAAGTGTATGGAAACAAAATACATTCCTAGTGGTGAAATCTTTTATAAAGGTGTGAATATTTTGCACATGGAGTTGCACAAATACTTTATTGCTTTGTGTTGGTAATGCTTATGGAAGTGATGTAAACTATGATTTTTCAAGTTACCGATTTGTCTGTGCAATAATTATTCTCTACACATTTGCCTTAGGTCATTACTAAAGAACCTCAACTGCTGGTCTTCACAATCCCAATTTTTGAACCTCTGCCTTCTCAATATTACATTCGAGCTGTGTCCGATAGGTGGTTAGGAGCAGAGGCTGTATGTATCATAAATTTTCAACATTTGATTCTTCCAGAGAGACATCCTCCACACACAGGTAACTTCAGATTTGATCATTTTGTTTTAATTCATCTTGATCATACTGATTTTCCTTATATAGTGCAATAAATCTCTTTATCTTCATTTCTGCTTCATCATAGAAAAGTACATGGAATCTCACTTTGTAAGATATTTGTATTATTGAAACCATTTCTTCACTACACTTAAAGTGCTCCAAAATTTTCAATTCCTGAACAAATAGCTGCTCATTTCATCTCAACATAATACCAACCTTACTCCAGGTTCTCTATAAAACTTAGGAAATTTGAAACCGTCGTATACAATTTAGCAAATCTCTATGTTATAGTATGTCTTAGTGCTTGTAAGCATTACATTTCTTCTGGACTGGTTAAAAATAATCTAAAAATGGATGGTTGGGTTAAAAACTGCATTCAGCAAAGAAAAAACACAGTTAAAATTTTGAAAATTTGAAACCTTTCACTATTTTTACTAAAATTAATTCATCATAGCAAGCACTGTTGCAGTACCAAACATGACATTTCAATTCAGCACTGCTGATCAAGTCATGGCCTTCCCCTCCTCCTTCTTTTTTAACACTTGGCACAGAAGCATATGTTTGTGTTTTGCTTCTTTTTTTTCTGGATACATAAATTGCCTGATACATTCATTGTGCCTGATGTCATTGTAAAACCTTTCCACTGTAATTACATTTGGCTCATCTGTGAAGCAGTCTGTGAAGTGAGTGCCTTCAGTAATACTCAGTTCTTATACGGTGGTGTCCTTTGGCATGCATAAATTCACATGTGTTTGTGAAGTGTTTAGCTATTGTTATACTGTACCTACGCTGTCTGAAATAGCATGTGTAACCTTTTTATCTAATTGACTGATCACTGACTACTATTCAGAAGAAACAGAAAGATATTTACACGTCACCAGTTATGGAGCCTCTAGGATTTATGGTAATTGATTTCAATTCCCATCTGGTTCCCACTCAACAATGAAGTACGTAGAGGCCCTGCTAGGCAAAAAACCTTTTTCTCCCTTGCAGAGCCCAAGAAATCACAGTTTCAGTGGGAATGATAAAACAGCCATAAGGTATCAGTGAAAAGCATGTGAAGAATATTAGGCATCATTGCCTCAGTAGATTTTATGACTCCCATATCATACCTTAATGTGAAGCACCCTGAAAAGACAATGAGACCTCCAGCCACAAAAAAAAAAAAAAAAAAAAAAAATCTAAACTTCAAAGCAAGCATCTGCATAGCAGAATCACTGCAGTCCCCTTAATTTGGTAGGATTCCAGATCTGATCTGGTTATATATATCATCTTCCAAATTCCACAATCTCTAATTGTTTGGATAGCAGATGCCCTCAAGATATATGGAGAATCATATCTTGAAAAGTTGTTTATTTACTAAGTTTGTGTATTTAATTACATGTTTAAAGGATTAGATGCAAAATTTAGTTGTAGTCATCTGATTTATATTACTCCATCAACTTAGAAACTCTAAAGAATCCTTCCTTCTTAAATAGATCTTTTTTCCTTGAATCTGAAATATACACGCTGTGCTGTGCTTCAGCTCCACATTCTGTTAGCATAAGATACATACATACGTACATACAATCTAATACAGTGAGTTTAGAATTTACTACAACTGCGTAAAAAGGAAACAGCTTTAAAGAAAATACTAATTTATGCAAATGGATGCTTCACAGCTATCAGAATACTAACAACAGTACTTGCAGAAATACCTCAGAGTTAAAAAATCAACTTTTCATTATTCCTCAGCAAAGTTAACAATGACCCAAATGCAGACTTTCTGGCATACGAGATACTAAGTCGAACAATTTCCTATGTAACTCATTTTCCACTATATTATTGTTTAATATCTATATCTTCATAATAAACTACGTTGTGGCATCTCTTTATCATACACTTATGATTATTTTGTGGTTTTAGAGCTTCTAGATCTTCAGCCTTTGCCTATCACAGCCTTGGGACATCGGGAATATGAAGCCCTGTACAAATTTACACACTTCAACCCTATCCAGACCCAGATATTTCATACGCTTTATCACACAGACTGTAATGTTCTTCTTGGAGCACCTACAGGTTCTGGAAAAACTGTTGCAGCTGAATTAGCCATCTTCAGAGTTTTTAACAAGTATCCCACATCAAAGGTTTGTAAAATAGATTTACTAGAATTATTTTGTGTACGAATGTTTTCAGCAATAAAAAAGTCTAGAAAAAGACTGTGGCGATCTGATTTTGTTTTCTGGAATTTATACATGTCTGAATACAAAACGGTACTGCATTATATATATATTATGTTTTTATTTCAACTTTATATATTAATCAGTGTACAACTAAAGTGACATTCAGGCATTCTGGATTTCCTTTCTTATACTTACCTGCATTTCCTGCTTTAATCTCTCTCTACTAGTAGTAGTTCTGGTTTATAGCTGTTAGTTCCCCTCCATGTGAATCCAACTAGCCCAGCCTATCTCTTATTTAAACAAGTAAGTTGCAATTAATTACTGCAAACCAATTTTCTGTTCCAGCTTGCCCCTGTGTTTTATTTCTTAAATTGTCTAAAAGCTGAACAACTCGGCTTTTGGGGTTTTGACTTCAAAGTAAATATATATCTGTATCTTGACTTAGCCATCTAGGCCTAGTTAACCACATTTTACCTTTAAAGTCTTTGGAAAAGATATTTATATCTGACTGTGAGATTTAACCAAATCTCTTATTCATCTTTGAGATTTCAGTATCTTCATGTAATTTGTGAGTCCAAGTGAGGTAAACAAGACACTCGTACATTTTCAGCTAATCTGTTAGACTTACAAAATAGCCAATTCCCAAAGGACTGTATCTTTTAGGTTTTAATAAAGCTGAAAACCTGGCTATATGTTTTTAAAGAATGTGCGTGAAGTCTTCATGTAGCGGTTTCTTCATGTTCAAAAGCTTCAGAATATTTAACCAGATTATTCTCATTAATTCTTAATATTTAATTTGGAATAAAGCTGTAAATAAATCTTGTTTCTACATGTTATTCTCCCCTGCACAGCAGGCTTCTTTGAGGAAAATATTGTGACAGTTTGCTTAAAATAATGACCTTTTTAATTTAATTGGTAATGGCTTAGTAATTTAATGACACAACTAGAAACCAGGTAGCTTGCTGGAAATTCTGATTATTTCTGTTCTAGAATGTTAGCTTGCAGATTTTATAGTCGTGTTAAAAAATGGCAATATTTATATAAGTAGGTTGTAATATTAAATGCTGTAAATGCTGTGATAAATACTTCCATTTCAAGAAACTATTCTTTCTCTTTCTTATTTGTTTGTTAATAGCATAGGAAACAAAGCATAATTTTCAAGTATTAAGCCTGTTGTAAACAGAATCCTGTTGTAGGTCATTTAATGAGCTCAAACCTTAATCATTTGAGTGAGTATGGTAATGAGTATGTTCAAATCTCAGAAGTATTAAATATTTTTCCTTGTAGGTACTTTCTTGTTTAACTTTTGGTTTCGTGACTTTTCTCTTGCAGGCAGTGTATATTGCACCCTTAAAAGCACTCGTTCGAGAAAGAATTGAGGACTGGAAAATTAGGATTGAAGAAAAACTTGGTAAAAAGTATGTTTCTCCTTACCTAATCAGAGAAATAAGAAGCAAAAGAACAGCCCATCAAGTATGAATAAAATCTACAGAATACTCATGAGTATTTCAAAATAGCTTCTGATTGTATACTGTCCTTCAAATTTCTAGTGCTTTAAAAAAATGCTATCAGTAGTCACTGTAGTGGTAGCAAAATCAAAACTTAAAAATGGATACACTTTAATACCCAGCTATTTTTATTCTCATTACTTGCACACATAACAAATGTGAAGCTCAGATTTCTCTTTCCAGTTTCCTTGGAAATTGAAATTGCAATCCGAAATAAGCTTTTTTCTTTTTTTTTTTTTTAAGAAAAATCAGCTAAAAGGAACTCAAAGGACTTGCATGAACTGTATACTAGTGTTCCTATATGATTCTTCATATATAAATTAGATAGAGTTTTATTCCTTGGTAGCATTAATTTCTTGCCGATCTTCTCAAGTGTTGGAGGTCAGCCATTACTTTCTGACATATAAGGTATATCAGTCCTGCTGATGCTTTCCAAAATTAGACTTTCTTGAATTAAAAATTATATCCGTAAGATGCGTTATTTAGGGCCTCTTCCTTTCCTATATATAGCTTTTTGCCTATCTAAAGCTGAAAGCACACCTCAGGTTTCAATAGAAGAAGTTCTACTCTGTATATGTGAAATTACTAGTGAGATTCCTGCTATTATTATATCAGTGACCTATTTGTGATTTTTTTTTTATTTTAATCGCCTGTGAGGATAAATTATTTGCCTCATAATTTTAAAATATTTGCAGATAATATTTTCTGTTTGAGATTTATTACTTGTGACTCAAAATTTGAACAGAAGATATACATTACTTTGAGGAATTTTTATTAGATGTTTAACTGGATGTAGAATGTGTCATAGAAATCTCAAAAATTCATTGTATTATGTCTAAAATGCTGTCAGTAGAAATTGAAAGGGTAATAAGGCAAACGATTGGAAAAACTGCTTATCTTCCCAAAAAATGACCTTAGGATAATTCCTGCTCCAGTTTTAATGGAACTTGACCAATAAATGCAGATACACTGCAATTTAGCCTCGTTATTCAAACCAGAGATCTATACAGACAGCAGGTATCTTTATAGTAAGGTTTCACCCTGGCTATGGCAGGATGTTATGATTCACATTATATCATCCTAATATTCTTACATTATCTTCATTTTGGAAAATTAACTGTACATAGTTTGGGACTCATATTTGCCCGCTTCTATTTGCTATTTATATGGTATTTTTTAGGATAACAGGTTTATTTACTTAAAACAATTCTGAAAATTCTTCTAGAAGTATTTGACCAGAAACAAAATTACATTGTTTAATGTTGTTTCTTCTCTCTTTTAAGAGTTTTTGTTTAGGAGTTAATATTTGAACATTAAGATATTCTAAAGCTTTGTAAAGCAAGCCACCATCTTTCTTGATTACAGGGTTGTAGAGTTGACAGGAGATGTGACTCCTGATATGAGAGCTATTGCCCAAGCTGACCTGATTGTTACTACCCCAGAGAAGTGGGATGGTGTTAGCAGAAGCTGGCAGAACAGAAGCTATGTTCAGAAAGTTTCCATTCTTATCATAGATGAGATCCATCTGTTAGGTGAGCATGTTTTCTTGGTTTTAATGAGAATTGCTGCTGAATTTGAAGAAGTGTGCTGGTACTTATGACATGAATATACTTTTTGACTTATGAACCTTTTCTTTCTCTCCATTTTTCATTGGGCTTTTCATTTACTAGGGGATGAGAGAGGCCCAGTATTGGAAGTTATTGTGTCTCGAACAAACTTCATCTCATCGCACACAGAGAAGCCTGTTAGAGTAGTTGGTTTATCCACTGCTTTAGCAAATGCCAGAGACCTTGCTGACTGGCTAAATATTAATCAGGTATGAAAAATGTTTCAGAAGATGGATATGTGTTTGTACTGCAGAAAAACAAAATAGCAAATTATAAGATAATTCAAGGTTAAACTTAAAAAAAATGTTTCCTTGTAGATGGGTCTGTTCAACTTCCGACCGTCAGTACGCCCGGTTCCTCTGGAGGTGCATATTCAGGGCTTCCCTGGGCAGCATTACTGTCCTCGCATGGCTAGCATGAACAAACCTGCGTTTCAGGGTAAGCAACAAGCTCTTAGACCTTTTCCTTATTTCTGTAAAAAAAAAAAAAAAAAGACTGAACACTTTACACAGTTTATTTGCAGCATATTTACAACATGTGTGTATGTACTCTTTGGCATGTATAGGGGGAATCTGCTCTGCTAATGGCCCAAAGCTATTTGTCTGAAACATAAAGTGTGCTACAAATGCAACATAGAATGGAGGAATGTAATGTATTTAGAACAGAAGAATAAAATTAGTGCTAGTGAGGGGGAAATAAAATGTGTTTTCTCTTAGTGTTCGACACCATAAAAAACATTTGTGTAAAAATATTTGAAATTTAGAAAGTAATAAAACCATTCATATTATTAATCTGCTGAGATATTTTCATATGGACCACTGTATGTAAGCATTAAAAAAATTGTGAACAGAAGTTGCAAGTCAGGCTAACCTCCTATGATTCTAGTTTCAAAGCAATAACCATAAAATTCAAAATTTGTAGTGCATCCAGATATGCTTCTGTTTCCAATTTTTTATTCTTAACAAAGCTGGCAAGCAGGATAGATTTAAGAAAAGCTCTCGTATTTTATTTGAACATGTTTTGCTTTGGTTACATAAGGAATATTTATTACATCAATTAAAAATAACCTCCAAAATAAATTTTGTAATGTGAACTGCTGTTGATTGTGAGGTGACATTTGTGAGGTGACTTTTTAGCTGCTTTAATTAGCCTTATGACAGAAGCAAAGTATTGATTGTGGACTAGAGACCAATCTTGACAGCCCAGATTATTTACACCTCCACAAGAGCATTGTACAAAAACACTAATGAACAATAAATCTGTCTTGGACTGTTCTGCCACACCTGTTCCTGAAGCAGCAAAAATCCATTAGATGCTGGGCTTTTAAAATATATAGATATATGGGCATATATAGTTGTAAGGTATAAATACACATAAATTATTCTATTTATTTCAGTAATTTCACAACTGTATAGTATCTGTATATACAAGAGCACATGCTGGGTAGTATTCTTGAACTAGGGAACAATTTGTGATGGTGGATAGTATGAAATAGTTATCAGAAATAAACAGTGCAAAAATTTAATTGCTAGAATGAGAATTACATAAGAAAACACACAGATGGACTTATAAGAGATTTCGAGAGAGTATTTGAAACTCTACATACACCTGTTTATACTTCTAGTGCTTGTCGATGTTAGAAAATGTGTAGATGTATGATTTATTGAGGGCTTTTTTCACCACTTGTTTGACGTGATATAGTCAAGGTTATTTTAGCATTTCATGGCAGTACTTATTCCTGAGGCCATAAAAATTTCACTGCAACCTGAAACTTTTTGAACACAGGCTGAGCAAGAAAAAGGACTCAAGTTTTTTTAAGAAGTCCTGAAGCATAATTGGTTTAAATATATCAGACTAATTAGAAAACAAGAGAAACAAAGTTATTTTCTACCATAGTGCCCACTTTCACAGTATTTCTTGAAAAGTCACTTTCTACCTTTTTTTGCCTTTTCTGGTTTGGTAGATTGAAGTGATCTTTTGTAGGCAGACATGAGTTTATGCAGTCTGGACTCTGGGACAGACAGAAAGCAAGTTTTGGACCTTCATGGCCCTTAGCCTAAACTAACATATCCCAGTAGGTAGAAAAAACAGAACATACTTATTATACTAAGATAGAGAAATTCACAAGCTCTGAAGACTAGAAAGCTTGTCTGGGTTTTGTGGTGTTTTGGTGGGGTTTTTTTCCCAACTGGTTCTCTTAATTAGCTTGCAATGATCACTGAAGTAGCAGGGCAAACTAACTCAGACTCAACTAGCATAGCTATATGATTTTTGATTCAGAGATGGTATACGCTCACTTCAGTTGTATTCATCTGGTAGAACAGAGACATATACGTATCTGTATATCATCTGGTATATCAGTTGTCTAGGCAAAGAGAAACTCTAATTTTTGTCATTAAAGGGTCTAATTCTCAAGATCTGTTTTTCTCAACAGCGATTCGGAGTCATTCTCCAGCCAAGCCTGTTCTTATTTTTGTATCATCCAGACGTCAGACAAGGCTTACTGCTTTAGATCTGATAGCTTTCCTAGCCACCGAGGATGATCCCAAACAATGGCTGAAGATGGATGAAAGAGAGGTAGAATCACTTTACTTGCATTATTTGTGGTTTGCTTCTATTTTATTGATATTTGTTTGAAAAGAAAATGCATCTAAAACAAGAGAGTCATGTGAGCATAGATCTTGAAACAGCTATGATTAAGCTAAATTTCAATATGTATTAAGACTAACGTCAGCATTAAAATTATATAAACATCTTTGCAAAGGCTGAACTTTAGAACGCAAACTCTTTTATCTTTGTTTTTCCTGCATATCTATTATTAATGCTAGTTCCCTTGTCCCAGACAACATATATCACATGGTAGGAGTCTTTGATACAAAGATAAGACAAAGAATAAAAGAGGACTAGTGTTCTCCAAAGTTTACAGCTGGAAATTCGTGACACAGAGTTGTTGAGCTTGAATTTAAACCAAGTCTCTTTCAATGTTTTAGGAACAAAATCATTCTTCTCATAAGATAACTGTATGTGTAGAAGGTCATGTATATGCATATATATCTGTGTGTATATATGTACGTATGTATATAATGTGTCTGTCCATCTATACTCATACATATATAGAGAGAGAGACGTATTGCAGAACTAACTGTTTAGGAATGGTTCGGTCTTGCATGTCAATGAAATAAATCCATGTTCAAAACAAAAATAACTTCTGCTAATGTATTTGTTACAAGAACATAAAAATTACCGTCAAATATTCAGATGTTAAGCAATACTGGAGTAAATGTTTAATTTTTTATTCTTTCTCAAGCAATATAATCTTTAATTACATTTTCTTGTACTGTCTCTCAAAAAATCCTTTCAGTTATTGCAAAACATGAATGATGGTCAAATAAGAAACAACCATTTAATATTCTGTTTTATCTTCATTCTTCAAAATGTGTACTAGGTTTTATTTACTGCACTTGGTTCAGCACCTGCTCTGAATACAGAATTATTTATTTCCTTCTGGACTAATGGTCCTGATTATAGTATAGCTTTGCTTCAAAACAGATTCTTTGGTTGGTATTCAGATTTCTCAGGTTTTGGAAGTTAGCTTATTTGGTTGGTATTCAGATTTCTCAGGTTTTGGAAGTTAGCTTATTTTAATGGTTGCAGACATTCTGGATAGGAATTTCTGTGGTAATACTGGGCCAAAAGACCGCAAAATGCAGGATTCATAAATACAAGATCCAGAACAAATATTGTATGAACATTAATATATCAACAGTTGTATGAGTAGTTATTCACTTGTGTACCACAAATTACATGCCAAAAAGTATAGTTTTCTAGATGAGATTATTTGCTTTTGTTTGTTCTTTGCAAAAAAATAAAATGTGATTTTTTTTCTGAGATAAAGCATAATATCTATATCCTTCCTCTTTTGGATGGATTATGAAAAAGAAAATGGATGTCTTGGCTGATAAAGTACTAGTACTAAAGCATGTCTCAATTTGAATCTGATTTTCTAACAGTATAACCTCTATTTAATGCTTCCTTGAGCATAACAGGCACATTTCATATCAAAATGATTACTGCTTAGTAGATTACTCTAGTACCTTATGCTAGTTTACTGTAGTGATCTCACCTATAATTAGAATATGTGACATGCACCTTCTCCTAAATGACTTGCATTAATATGAATAGCTTCCTCATGTCCTGTGAGCCACTGCCATCCTGAAAAGAACTGTAACTGAAGCTTCTTCACTTGCTGGAAAAGGGTTTTCTATTAGGAGCCTTTGAATTTTGTGTTTCAGAATAAACCTCTGAAGGATTTGAAAGAGGAGCCAACAAGGACAAGCAGACTTTGCATTTATTAGTTTAATAACATTTGCATATTATTTGTATCTGAATTAATAAGCTGAATATTTGGAGCACAGGATACCTACCAACTTACTCAGTTCTGATTACGTAAATGTAAAAGACTAAGAATTAATTCCTAAGTTGTTATTTCTTACCACTATTATGCAGAACACAATTCTGTTTGAAGCACCCACAATTTCAAGTGAATATTTCTTTAGGTAATTATGGGACCAGTTTGTAATTTTGTGTTTTAAATGAGCATGGTTAGCCTGAGTTTCATTTGTCATTGAAGCAAAGAACAAAGCTCACTAGTGCTACATACCCAACATATGTACCGCTTAATTCTTTATCTGTAATTGGTGGGTTGTTTTGTTTGGGGTTTTGTTTTTTTTAAAATTCTAAATTCAAGTTACGTTAAAGTCAGGCTTGGACTAGGTGAAATAGACAAATTTCTCTCCATACTGCTATAGCATTTTTGAGTATTAAAAGTAGAACTAGTGAATATTTACTTTATAGGAGGTATTCCCTACTTTATGGGAGGTACTGCCTGTCTTGAACACTTGCCCAAATATTTTGTGTTTCTCAGTTCCATACGGAACAAAAAAAGGGATCAGTTAGAAGAAATAAATTGTTCTTGCCTTTAAGCAACATTTTCTGTTGCTTGTCAGTTTTGCTCATTTGTTTTTTGCCAACCCATGTTCCTTTAGGGGAACTTACAGACAGATTATTTCGTTTTCAAAATATTTGCAGTTCTTAATTGTGAAACATGTTGAGATACAAGAGATTTTCCATGTATACACCCAGGAAAGGTGGACGTATACAAAGTTTACAACAGGCCTTGGCATTTTTCTTCATTCAGCCTTATTTGTATGATATTCATTTTGGCTGACACAAGATTCCTTTAAGAACTCATTGGTTAGTTTTCTTTAATGGTATATGTAATTGATTTTGCTACATGACAGTCTATGTTTATGTTAGCTTCCCAGTGGGTATACTGCATAATATATCCATACTACAGGTTCTTAAAATGCTGTAAACAATACCATCCATAATAACATCTAGAAGACTGATAATTGAGGTAGGCACAGATTCTTACAGCCATTAAAGGTGATTTTACTCTCTTACCCTGCATGGCAGCTTTTCTCTGATGGTAACAGAGAGATTCAGGCCTTGAGGGGGAGGGATGGAAGTGGGAGAGAGGCCAATACCGGCTCTTTGCTACCTGTTTATCAGCTATGCCATCATCTTAGCTTCCCTTATCTTCTCTGTAAAGATCCTCCGTACAGTGGTAGTGCCAAACCAGACTCTTATTTGTAGCATGTGAAGGGTGCACTCCCTTTTCAGCAACTCCAGACTGCTTCACTTCACAGTAACAGGCAAATCCACACTCATCTCTGCCATACAGCTCCGAGTATCAAATTCAGATAATATTTCAATCAGTTATATTTCAAAGGACATGAACTTGTATGAAGCTTCTAGAGTACAGATTTGTATGAATAAATGAGGCACAGAAACAAACCTTCAGCTGTTGCCACCAAAGTAGACAACAGCATATCAGGATCATGGAGGAACCATACAAGACATTCTTTCCATCAAAAAGGAGTCAGCAGTCTAACAGGTGCAACTGAATTATAATCGAGAAGGAATTTTGTTCTACATCCATCTACTTTTCAGTAGATGTTACAGGCAGCTCCATTCAGTTTTGGAGATGGTTCTTCCTGAATGCTTTCCTTGAATTTCATGTCTGATTTAAGTTTCCTGTTCATATGCTTATTCCTACAGTATTCAGAAAGTTAAAAGTTATTCAGAAAGTTGAGACAGCTGTCAGTCATAAGATTGAACTGTACTTGATGAAAATTGCTGTTTCTAGTACAAATAAGTTTTCCAGTTCTACTAGACATGTTGTTACACAGCAATAGATAGATCTGTTTAATAGATTCTATCCAACTAAGTTTCAGGCTATGTGCATGCTTTTTGTTAAGAAACTCTGCCCACTCAGGTACCTTATGTCTAGTTTAGTCTGAGCAAGAAAGCCTCCAGTGGTGCTGGAATACCCTGCTTAGTGAGATTTGTAGCTGATTCTTCAAAGTTTATCCCTACATTTACCAATTGCTATGCATCACGGCAAATGCAGAGATTCTTCAGGATTTAAGCAGGACTACCACAGTTTGCCCAAAAAATACTTACCTGGAGCTTTACAGGTGTTTTGTTTTTTTCTTTTTCTATAAAGTGCATTGTCCATACACATTCCAAAATGAGCTCTCTATCCCTCTTAGGATTTGCATTCCCAACACAGGGTTTATTTTTTGCCAAAGAGTGAAGCAGCAGCTGAAGCTGCCTTCCTTGGCATTTGCAGTTCTTGCAAGACCTCTTCAGTTGACATCGCTTGTAAACACTGTCCTAGCTATGAAGCATAAGTGCATCATGACAGAAATGTGAATAAGCATTGCATCTCAAAGAGAAGACTGCACCTATAAATTGAGTAATTCTTGATTTCTCTTTATTGTTCATTGATGCCCATGTGGCGATGAAAAAAGCAAATTGTATGCTCACCCTGCTTTTTTTTTTGTACAATCACGAGATGATTTTTAAATATACACATTCTGGCCAAAATTGTCACTTGGAGCTGTCTGCCAGAACTGTCACATTGAATCTTGTGACCCATTTACTTATCTTGTTTAAAAGGGACAACAGCTCAGATTATCCTTTTGGAAACAGACAGTCCCACCAGTCTGTGATAGTAAGCTTGAGTAAGGTCAGTTAGGCTGTTCTACATTAGGAGCTGACTAAAGAGTAACAAGTTCTCCTCTTTCAGAAATTGCATCTACATCTGTAGTGGTGGCAGATGTTGCAATGTTTTTACAACATGATTTATTAGAATCAAGTTTTCAGTTTATTTATTTTTCTCTAATGATTTTATTGCTTTTTGTTTTTAACCTAAAATACTACAAAGTAATATTTATTGTTTATTGTTTGAAGTTAGAATGCCATTCTCACCAGCAAACAAGCAGGGTGTTTTCTTATTTGGGGTTGAGGTTTTTTAATACATTTATTCCCTGGCCAGATATTTGGATTTTTTTATTATTTTTTTTTTTATATTTACAGTGCAAAGATGGAGAAGAAATGTACCCATGTACACAGTTTTAACTTTAACCACAATGATTTTTGCAATCTGCTTTGTGCATCATTTTACCATCTGCATCTTGTTAAGACTGTTCTTTATGAAACCTTCTAGAAATAACCAAAATCCTTTAGCACAAACATACCTACTGTAATATTCAATAGCATCCATACCAGGCAATAGCCAGCATCCACTGAATTCAAGGGCACTTGAATGAAAGGCACTCATTGACTCCGAAAAAAATTAATCAGGCGTGTACTGATTTTATGATTTTAGAGATGTGGGTGTATAGACATGTGTGTGCTAATTATGGATTTTGTGTATGTGTTCATATGCTATGTGGAAATATGCAAAGACATATGGATGAAAGTGAATTAAATTTTACCATATAGTTCTGGTTTGCATTGCTTAAAAAAAAAAAAAAAAAAGGCAAACAAAAAGCAACACCCAAAAAAATCCTAAGAAGTGTTGGAAAGGCAAAAGATTATGTTTTCTACTCTAACCTTTAAATAAAGTAACCTATTATCTCCATGTTAATATTCTGTGCTATAAAACAGGGATAGAAGAATCTGGTCTGTGCCATGAATAGGTATATTGCTGTCTTAGATAAGATTTTTAGTGTTAAATGTATGTTTTAATAATACATATCAACCGTTCAAACAATATTTTCTTGAATAATCTTATTTGAGGTGGTTTAGGCATCTTGTTTTTGTGGGAGAGTTCTGGAGTATAAGTCAACTCTTCATCAAAAATAATTTTATAAGATGACTTTTTTTTTCCTGCCTTTAAAAATCGGGAGGATACCCAAGAATAATTTCTAAGTGTTTCACTCATTATAGAAGTTCAACTTCCTTCTACAAGATGTTGGGTTTACAACACAAAAGTGTGTCATAAAAAATTAACATTTAGTTATAACAAGGAGATGTTTTTATTTCACTTAACATCTGTACCAGATGTGAAATATGTAATTATTTTTGTAAAAGACTTCATAACTTTCACGATTCTTTTGTTTGGCACATCTTTCTTCTATTGGGCATTTTAGACAATTGATAAGCATTATTCAGTGGCATATGGTCTGAGTCTGACGTGCTTTGAAAAGAGTAGAGAGTACTAATAATGAGGATTCTGTGAAAATGGGAAAACCAGCACAACAGATATGCTTTGAGAAAGTATGGGTTTTTAGCATCTTGAAACAATATATCACACTCAAAGGGACAGAATTGGGCTGCACAATCTGTTAGCTCATTCTTGTCCAATCTGGTCTCCTCCTTTCTTTTGGAGCCAGCATTGTCATCAACTTGCTGAATTATATTCTGGCTGGAATGTATTTCAGGCACAGGGTAATGTATCTACTTAAATGGAATCCTATCTTTCTACAAAAGCTTTTTAAGTATAATAAATTTAAAATATAAAAAAGTTCTATTAGCTTAAAGTAAATGGTTCAACAGTTTACATATGTGCAGGAACAAAGAAAATGACTACTTACTAGTTTGAGAAAAATCTAGCTTGTTCAGAGGAAAGGTAGAAATAAACTTTATTTTTTATAGTAAATATTTTGCACTGCTACTAGAGTCCCAAATTGGTCTTCAGAGTTTCTTCATTAAAAGGTGAATTCCTCATCAACCTAATGTTAGGAAAGCATAGGAGATATTTTTTGTTCATCAAAAAAATCTGTGAAGGATAGACAGCAAAACTTCTTCTGCATGGGCCCAATCCTGTCTGCTGTGGAGTCCAGGAAAAAATCCTTCCTTATGTTAAGTTCCCTGCTTCGGAATTGTATGGGGTTGTTTATGTCAGTACCATGTATATTTCCTTATATTATTTTTAATATAACATAATTTCTGTTTTTAAGATAAAATATATTTTCTTTGCCCTTTTATCTTTACCCAATGTTACAGTTGTTTTCAGAAAGATAAATAGTAATGAAGTTATATCAATGCAGAAATATTAGATTTGTTGTATAGCCACAATGCTGTGTCTGTTTCTGGTTAATGAACCTATTAATTGTGCCATTATTTATTAATAAAAAGTGATAATGTTCTTACTCTACACTGGCATGAGAGTTGTATTTTTAAATAAATTGTCATGAGAATTTTAAGCCTTGGGTTGTACCTATGGGTAAAATAGTTATGTTTATTACATTGATTTATGTGAAAGTAAGGGGTCAGCTAAAAATGACTAGGATTCCCTGCTGCTAAAATGACAGGATAGCAGTACATGCGCCAGCTCTCCTGCTAAGGGTTCTTTAGTTTTCCCGTGGTAAATTACACTGCTTTGCAGGTGTGACTAACAGCACCACAGGCCACCGCTGTAATACAAGTCAGAGGGGAAAAAAAAATAACCACCACTGACTGTAAAAGCAAGAAGAACATCTTGGAATAAATTCCCAGCAGTGTGAATTTAGGATGTTTTCTGCTGGCAACTCCATGGCAAAAAGGTTTAGCTCAGATTCTGTACTGAAAATAACTAACACTGTAAAATTGCATGTGCTGAAGGAGCAGTCTAATCGCTATAGACTAATCCAAATCAGCTAATTTGATCCCTATACTCTTCTAGTGGAAAAGAGAGTTTAGATTCATTATTTACTCAATATCAAATTCCGCTCCTGTCGATGTCATTGGAACTGGCTTGTTCCCTTACATGAAAGACATGACTTTCATAAGGTGATGATTCTTAGTGGGGAGGAGAAAAAATAATTCAGCCATATCATACCTTCTGTAATTTTTTGAATGCAGAAATTGAGTAAAATGTAAATGCATTTTTTTCATTTATTTTTCTGATATTTATCAGTTCTGTTTTCTACTTTTTTATCTTAATTCCCTGTCAAATGTATACAGAAACTATTATTTCCCAAAGTGTCCATCTAAGCATAAGGAGCCTGTGTAGTGTTAGTACCACTTCATAAATCCATAGTACAAAGACCATTAATAGGTTTGAAAATATATTTAGTGATCTATGTTGGTATCATAATTGTAGAGAAAATGATATGCAGGTTCTCAGTTTATTGAGCTATTTTTTAGTCATAGGAGAAAAAATCTTTAAGATGGGTCATAATTCATATCGTCTACACTGTAGTCACGTGTCTACATGTTGACTAGAGAAATCAAAGGTTTGCTGATTGTATCTAGATAGATAAACTTTATCCTTTAACATATCCTCCTTTCATTCAGTTCTTTACTCTCTTCTGCTTATCTACTCCTCTTCTTGTTTTCCTTTCCTAAATAGACTTATCCCCTCTTCACTTCTCAATTAATTTCTTTTTTCTTCCTGCTTTCTTTCCTTTCAGTGCTTTATAGTCCCTTTCACTCTTTTCTTCTGTAAGCATCCTTTTCTTTTATACATGCTAGCTGAGTTTATACAACAAACCTTCCATGTCTTATAATATAGGAAACTCTCAGCAACATCCAGGCCACTGCATGGTGAAGGAAAATAAAGTCTAAGAGTTTCCGTTGCCAGATTGAATAGATTGGACCTAGCCAAAATTTGAGTAATTTTTTTTTAACTGGGTTCTGTGTTACTTCCATCAGTATCAACACTAGTTCAACAAATAGATTTTTTTTTTTTTACATGTTTTGTACTTTGCTCTTCCTGACAAAACTGATTGGTTTACAAAATCTATATTGTTTGTGGGTTTTTTAAATCCTGAAAATGGACTATTATATGCTCTAGCTTTTTTGTACCTTTTAAGGATTTTTTTTGTAATAGTAGTGATGTATGTTACTTGGGTTTAGGTATGTGAATCATTTTATTAACATTAAGATCTGAGAGTTATAAAACCCAGGAAACATTTAGAGAAGGTTACAATTCTGAACATCAGAAGTGCCACACCTCAGAGTCCTAAGTGAACATGAAGATATCACCGCAGTCGTGTCATGTCATGTCTATATCTTTGAGATACTGTGTCTGAGATGAGACTGAGTAGTCAGTCCAAATTTTTCAGTTACCCTGAGTAATTAGTTCTGCACTACTATTTTTTTCTCTAACCTTGGCTATACCTCCTAGGTTAATCGTGAATGATGCTGCCCATAAGAATGCAATATCAACATGCCACTGCTGGTGGCACCAGGAAACCACTAATAAGAGATGAGAGTTGAAAGTTCCTGGCTATAATTATATTAAAATCACATAAAATAATGAATGGCCTTAGAAATCAGAAGGTACAGTCACTAAACAAGACAGAAGTTATAAAGCTCTTGCTCATTATTAATGAGGGGCTTTTCACACAGGTCATCAGCAGAACTAAATGAGCTTATTATGGAATATACTGCTTAAAAACATAGGCAAGAAATATAGTTAAAATGATAGCAGTTCAAGTGATTCCATATACTCATTAGTATGAGATTTTTAAAAAATGGTAATAAAAAATAGCTATTTGTCTGGACTTCTGAAAGTTTTAAGTAAAGACACTTATTGCATGTTGGGTTTCACTAGAGGGTTTGAGTCTATAAATTGCAAACACACTCCAAAAAATTTCAAATTAATTTGCATTTCAGCATGTGAGTAGGAAAGTTTTTTCGATGAGTAATTGCAGAATTATCAAACTGAAGAACCACGTCTGTCTTTTCACAGGCATTGGAGAGAGACAAATTTATTTTTCATGGCTGTATGTTACTGGTTGCAGGGCTTTGTTGTGTTTTTATACCAGTTCTAACCCCTTTGATACTAGGGATTGCATTAAACAAACACAGAACAGAATGCATAGCAGTTGCCAGACCTGTCAGGATATTTTCAGCATTTTCATTTCCTTATCTGTTCTACTTATTGTGTCGATAAAGTCATGTGTATTTTGTATTCCCCCCATCACTAATATAGTATTTGATTTTTTTAAACTAAATCCAGACTGTTCAGAGACTGAAGACTCTGCGTTCCTGCTTGTATAAACAGTGTTAAGCAAAGTATCCTTTCTATTAAAAAACATAATAATAATTAGAATTTTAAATCTGTGAGTAATCTGTTTTTAAACACGCAACTATTCTTTCTGTTACAGATGAATGACATTATTGTAACAGTTAGAGATTCAAATCTGAAGCTGACACTTGCTTTCGGAATAGGCATGCACCATGCAGGTCTGCATGAAAGAGACAGGAAAACTGTGGAAGAATTGTTTGTGAACTGCAAAATCCAGGTACATTTGTTCTTTGAATCCTGCCATAATGAGTTTTGTATGGAATTTTAAAAGTTGGCTTTTTGTTACATATACCTCATTAATCTTTCTTTCTGTTTTAGGTTCTTATTGCCACAAGCACATTAGCTTGGGGTGTAAATTTTCCAGCTCATTTAGTAATTGTTAAAGGAACAGAATACTATGATGGAAAAACAAGGCGTTATGCGGATTATCCCATTACAGGTACTCACATAAATTATGGAAATGCTCATATGCTGAAATGTATTTCAAGCATATGCAAACGATCTGAATTAATTAGTAACTGATCGCTGAAAATACCTAATTTGCGTAGAGACAAGGACTGCTGAAGAAAGGGTTCCTTTGTTTAATGCAAGTTGCAAGAGAACTCTTATAATTGTATGTAATAATGAAAATGTTTCTGTTTTGCAAATTTTTTTTCATGCCAAATTCCTTTAATGTGTATCATCCAAAATAGACATTAAACAATTGAGAGGACAATATAAAGTCATATTTAGCTACCTAGTTAATTGTATAAAAAGACATTTTCATGCATGCAAATAATTTATTTTATTATTGAAACCTTTTTTAAATAGGAATGGATTTTTAACAGTAAACTAAGCCATAGTTTGAAATGCAACAGTTGAATTACACATGTATGAAAGCATAAAACTTACACATATTCACTCGACAGTAAGCAAAAAAACATAACTACTCTAGTATCTTCAGTGATTTAAGTGATGCTTCAAGTAAGTGATACTGCAGAAATGAACAGCTAAATTAAATATTTGAACTTCTGGTTTGATACAGACTTCCTGGTTTCAGTAAACTCTACTTTTCATAAACTGTTCTGCAGTGTTTTCAACAAGCTTAAGAAAGTGAACCATGGAAGAACTTTCAGAGTTCAAACAGGGAGAATATTTGTCTGGATTTTACTAAGCTTGGAGAATGAGGACAAGCTAAATTTATTCCAGGTTTCCTGTTTCCATTTCTCTTTTCACAAGAGAAAGTTCGTTATTCGGTAATCCTATACTACGCTAAAGATGTGTACACCTAAGGACAATCTAGGTGTTACTTGTAATGTAAATAGAGGGCTTTCATCTTTTTAACCATGCACTCTCTTTTCAGTAAGTGAAGCTTACTAATGAAAAAAACCCTCAAACTGAAAATACTATGGGGGTTACTTCTCCCACCATAGAGCTTAATTTAGTGGTTAGTGCTCTGCAGGAAACTTACGATCAATTTCCAGACCAACTGTCTTGTTCAAAGATTCTGGTATGACCTGGGAACTTAACCCTGCACACTAGCATTTTGTGACAGACTTTGGCTGATGTAAACTTAGTACAAAGTCTCAGCAGAGTAGTATCTCGTACATCCTGACTGGAAGAATAGCGGCAACTGACTGTATCACTGAATGGGGAAAATGATGAAGAAAGAAATCAACTGAAGTTTTAAATTTTATTTTAAATCTGTGGGACTGTCACAGATCACTAATAGAAAAAATAAGAAAAGAAATCAGAAACTCAGTGAGCATCGAAAACTTACTATGCTGTTTTAGAAATCTGTGTACAAATACTAACAAAGGCTTTAGGAAATGCTTATACTTTCACTTCTTATTGCCATTTTAATTCAGGTGTCTTCAACATCAGGGGTTGTTCAATTCTTGACTTTTCAATAAGACTTTGGGGGGAGGGATGGAGGAGTACCACCATCTGTGCTGGAACTATTTAGATTTTGTTGTCTGCAGGGCAACAGAAATTGCAGATTCCTTACTTTATGAAGAAACATGTGGTGCAGTTTGCTTAAAGCATTTTTATTTTTAACTTTCTAGAGAATATTTATGTATTTGGAAGTTCTGTGGATAGGTAGTACAGTTTTGCAGCAGCAATAAAATGAAAATGTAATTCATTTCTTTCTGAAATACTTCCAAAAATTTCACAGTACTGTCTTCAATGCTGACCACAAGTTATGCCTTCACTGTTCCTTCATTGTATAACTTGGCTTCTCCCTGCTGAAGTTCCCTTTCTGTACCAAGGATGCGTTCAGCTCCAAGGAAGCAACCAAGGGCAGAATGAATCATTCTGGATAGTTCAGTAATTTCAAAATAACTAGAAGTCATTCTTTGAATGAAGTCAGAGGTTTGGGGAAGACCTTTTCTCAGTTACCAGATGTTTAGTCAGCCAGTTGGATCATGTTTAACATTTCAGGGGTTTAATCCAGTGATTAAAAGCAGCCAAGCAACATATAGTAAGTAAAGAAAATATTGGGTTTGGATAATTACATAGTGGATATTGGCAAAAATAATTTCCTGACACTTTTCAGTAAATCCATTTCCTATATGGTATTATGCACAATTTAATTCACCAGCTTAGAATAGGAAGAAGTTGTTTCATCACCTCCTGTGCACGTACCTATTCAGAAACATCGTTTTCAGACTGGTTTGAGAATAGGAAGAAGTTGTTTCATGACCTCCTGTGCACGTACCTATTCAGAAACATCGTTTTCAGACTGGTTTGTTTTTACATTTTCATGTCATTCCTAAATTAACAGAAGATATAAACTGATAAAGTACATTGCTATCTATGTAGCTCGTGGGTACACAAGTGAAAATATGTTACTAAAAACTGTACAGTGTCATTGGGCTGTTTCTCCTATCATGGTCCATTGCTGTATCCCATACTACCCCCTCTGGCTTTTCCTTCCCCAGCTGGCAATTGGGCTAAAAGCTTATTGATTCTAGAGCCAAAGAAATCACTTTTCAGAATGCCAGGTACTACAAACCATGTTTTACAGGTGTGATAGAGCTTATAGAGAATACACAAAACTAAAAAGCTTTAAAATAAACATGTAAAACTTACTTATGAGTTTCTTTCCATTGTTTCTTCAAAGTTAAATAGTAGTTGGAGGCACCAGAAAGGAATCAGAACTCTGCAGATGTACTTCTCACATTTGAGAAGACACACACAAATAGATGATAAGCATATTCATCTTGGTGGCCAGGTAGCAAATTGAGCATGCTTTGTTTCAGGTAGTATTTTCAGTGTTTATAGAAATCATTAACTGGTATGTGCAAGTAATGATGTGTAGACAGAGTAGAAGAGGAAAGCTTTAACTGTACCTGCTTTCAAATTTGTGTATTGTAGTCTGATATGAAACCACCTCTACTCCAGTGCTAATAATTAATATCACTTGTGAAGTTTGAGTGGGAAAGATCATAGCTGTCAGTAATTAGAATTTGCCTTTACCAATTTATCTCTAAAATATTCAAAACCTAGGAAATAATACATGTCAGAGAAGCTTATACAGGGGACTTCTATTACTGTGAAGTCAGACACTTGAAAATTAGGAAATAATAGACAGTTGCCATCGTAGGCTTCATGAATTCTCTGACTGGTCATCTTTAATTGCATATGCTCAAACAAGGGATGGATGCGGAATGGAAGGAGAGTAGAGGAAATTTATATTAGATGTAAGCTTAGATTCTATTGCAGTGGGTGGTCCTCAAGTATGCAGGAAGATAGTCTCTGCCAGAAAGAAGTTCATCATAAATTTATCTGAGATGGAAAAAAATTACTAGATTTGTCAAAACCAATAGGGCATAGAAGGCCAAAGAATTTAAAAAATCCTGTATTGTACATTATGCAGATGTAAATACATTTATTTATACATTCAAATAAATACGTTTGGTTTATACATTACTGTCTCTTTGGCAGATGTGCTTCAGATGATGGGACGTGCTGGCAGACCACAGTTTGATGACCAAGGAAAAGCTGTAATTCTAGTTCATGATATTAAGAAAGACTTCTACAAAAAATTCCTTTATGAACCTTTCCCAGTGGAATCAAGGTAAAGATAAAGCAATCAGAAAAGCTGATTAACCTATAAACAAAACTACAAATGCAGAATCAAGAAAAGTGAAACAAAATTCCTGTGCCCAGTACCTCCCAAATATTGTGGTCCTAGACGAAAATAATTTTTAAGAAAATATTATCATCTTTATGCAAAAAAATCCTGTCTTCCATGAGTTTTGAAAGCACTGTTGGTCTCTTTAGTCCATTCCCAGATAAAAATACAAATGTTTCTCTGGTTTGAGTGTTGTCTCAGACATTTGAATGAGAACACAAACTTCTTCAAGAGCAGTGTATAGGACACTTACACATGATCCTCAGAACCCTCTCTGAAATGCTGTGACAAATTCTTAATAGGAAAAAAAAATAGTTGAGTTTCTAACACTTTTTATTTAGAATACTTGTACCATTATAGATATCATATTCTTCAAAATCTCACAAGTTCAAAAAGAAATCTGCATAATGTAAACTATTACTGATACTCTTTCAACACATCTTTCACTTCAAAATTGCAATATTGTTATCAGAAATGTAGAAGCACCACCTTTTTGTTCCTTCTCTGGACTTAGTCAATACAAATTTTCCTGTCCAGCATAACGTAATTCATGCATTGATTTTGATATTTATAATATGCTTAGTTGTTTGATGAGAAGCAGAACTAGTTGCATTGGTCTCCCATAGATGCATGTTTCATGGAGGAATTCTGAGGTATATAATAAAGCATGAGCATTACTGAAAACTTTTCTGATGATGAAGAATTGACAGTATTGAGAAACTTCATCCCTCAACATAAGTGATAATGGGACCTTTATCTGCTCAGGAAGTTTGTAGGAGCTTGCAAGTGCTATGCACCTGTGAAATGTAGTTGAAATGGGATGGTGTATTTGAAAGTTAATTTCTGTGGTGCACAGACAGACATACAATTTTTTGCAAACAAAGAATGTGGAAACATGCACTTCATTTCCTTAGGAAATCACACTTTTGTTTTTTTAACATACAAATTGCACTTAGCACAAAAGGCTAGGAGTTGAATTCTTCAAAATGATAGCTAATAAATCAAAAGAGCAGTGTGATGATATATCCAGACCGTATGGCACTAGCATAAATTAGGAAATCTATTCATAGCTAAGTGGTGTTTCTAAATAGTGTGTCTTCGAAATAACTGTAGAAATCATACCTTGTTCCTGTTTGAAATACTATAAATACTCTGTTTCTAGTAGCTTATTTTGTGTGTATATATTTACTCTGTAGTTTGATATATTTCATCTTTCACTATAAACAAAGAATATTTGATAAATTTTCAGCTGAAGATTCACATATTAATAGCAATCTTGTTAAGTTTCATGTAGGTCGTGAACCCATTAATTTAAGAGTTGTCTTGGGCTCTTTTGTGATCAAGTATTTGAAGTAGGAGGCTCCATAGCTTCTTAGAAAGAAACTCTTTGGGGTGTTTTGAGGGTTTTTAGTTTTAGAATGCTTTTCCATCTGTTCTGCCAAAGAAGCTATTTATCAGCTTTGTGTAGTATTTCTAATTTGTAAAATTAAACTTCATATTTTATTAATTAAAGTTTTTTTCTAAAAGCCATTGTCTACGTATTAGCTGTAAGACCTGAATATACAACTAGTATGTCAGGCCTTGTTTTCTCACTGATCATGGGTTTGAAATATAGCACATTAGAAGCAAAAGAAAAAACACTCTTTATTATGGAATAGCTATTGAATTATTTGTCCATTTTCTGTTGGAAAATCTGGGTAGAACATCTGCAGTTCTTACTTCAGAAGCATGCAGTCAGTGGTATAGGACAGTAAAGCAGCTACTCAAACCAAATTATTCTTTACTTTTAGCAATAGGGAAACAACACTAGGAAAAGAAAAAGGATTATAGTACAAGACAAATTAGGTTGATGCTGAAGGATATTTGCTATTCCCTGCTTGAACTCTAGCCAGGCATGATCTCATTAGGTACCCTAATGGAGGTCTTTGTTCCATGTAATGACACAAAGCAGTATTTTTACTTTGTAAGAATCATTTGTTCTTCTGTGTTTCTGAGTTTAGATCTTTCTGGGTAAAAGTAGCAGTTCTATGGCTTTTTTTTTTTTTTTTTTTTTATTGGGGGAAGATGAGGCAAAATCTGGGGGAAGCAGTTTTGATGTAATTTTAATAGCCCTCAAGTATTTGTCAAGTATTAGCTAAGCCATTGCCACTGTTTAATTTCCTGTTTGTCTTTCCATATGATTCTCTATTGGATTAAGCCAGCATGATCATATGGTCAGCATACAGTATTCAGAAGTTACCACTGAGTAGCTCCATCTGAATACATTCCATGAATGACTTAAATTTGTTCATTCTTGGTCCAATCAAAAAATAATTTGAGCTTCATTCCACTATCATGTAAAGAAGCTGATTGACCTTGCAATTACATTGCCCCTTTTTCTCCCCCTTTTCTCTTTTACCTGAAGATAAATACATAATATTTTCAGATTAAAAGTAATAAGCCTTTTAATGCACAACTCTACAAAATATATTACTTGTCTTCATGATTGTAAAGTCAGCTAAGTCCTCTTGTTTCCTGTTCTTCAGCTTGTTAGAAGTGCTGGCTGACCACTTGAATGCTGAAATTGCTGCTGGAACTATTACTTCTAAGCAGGATGCAATGGATTATATCACCTGGACTTATTTCTTCCGTAGACTTATAATGAACCCAACGTGAGTATAAAACAGAAATGTAATTTAATCTGAAGGTAACTTGAGGGTAGAGTTGATCCAAAGGTGATCCTGCTCCTGTTGGAGCCTAGAATACTTAACAGTTTCCAGCATGGGAGCGTTACTGGCCCACACATGGAATAGAACTTCTGTGCACATTTTTCTAATATTTTTTGCTTTAAATATAAATGCATTTCTTGGCAAATAATTTTACAATTTAGTGATAAGTATAAAATAGCCTTATTGAGAAGGCTACATTAGTATCCCTAAAATAAAACTCCAGATTATCATATTCCTTTAGGTATTATATTTATAATCATGAAGTCATAGAATGGTTTGGGTTGGAAAGGCACTTAAGATCATCTAGTTCCAACCCCCTGCCATGGACAAGGATGCCTCACACTAGACCATGTCGCCCAAGTCTCTGTGTTACTTTTTTTTTAGCTACCACATTGATATGTTCTGCCCAGAAAATCTACTAAGACCCGGACTTTCCTAATAAATGAGAGAATAGCTATCAGCTGTTTTTCTGTGATGAAGTTTACTTTCATTAAGGTATCATGGTGAAACCATGTGTGCATTATTTTCAATGATTGTTATCATCCTGCCTAGCTCCAGCTGGTATGCAGATCATTCTGAGCTGTTCCAGCAATGTAAGCTGCCTTTGCCACAACATTGTCTTGGGTAAATGGTATGTTACCTATCATGTGATCATTCACCCACCAAAATAATGTGGCAAATAAGGAATTAGGCATTTATAGCACTAAAGATTTCACTTCTTTAGAGTGCTTCAGAGTGACTTTAGAATTTACACATGATCCATACTACAGCTAATGTTAAAAACTGTGCCACTGCAGACACTGTTCTTTTTTAGTATAAAGAGTGATGTTATTTTAAAATGTCTTCCTCTTGAATTGCTGTGTTAAAGTGATTTTGTCAATTTGTCTTTGGCAAGCTTTGATCATGTCGTATCTGTGGTAGACAGATTTTTAAGACACAACAAGCAGCACAAAAGTAAGCATAAAATACAGAAATGCAGTCGTTTGATGTAATAGGAAAGCTTTTCCCAGTATAAAAGAAGGTTCCCACTGGAATATGAGGTTGGCATGTTGACTGATCGTCCTTTTTTCTCAGCAGTTTCTTTAATGTGCAGTGTCATGGAAAGCTAATTCTGAAGTTATCACAATATCAACTTTTAGGTTAAAGTTCTGCTATTCTGAGAGCATTGTGGGAGGAAAGTGGGGGGAGAGGGGAGGGAAGATAAACACCCTCTCTATTTCATCATGAGGTGCAGAACCTTTGTAGCAAGAAACAAGATGAACAGATCTTGACCAGTGGTGTCCATAATGGCAGGATAGGAATGCATACTGAAGTTTCTAATGAAATTAGTCTTTCATTGGAACATCACACATGCAGGTTGGAATAGTTCACAAGTTATGCTGGTTTAACCCCACTCATCCACACAGAAGTACTCAGCATTCCTTCTGTACTTAGTCATGCAGGGAGGATATGAGGTAATGAAGGATAATACAGAGTGTCGAAGAGGTCACTTCTAGATTTCAAGGGCAAATGCAATGGATGTGCACACTTTCTATTCTTTGACATGGTAATAAGTTCTATTAAGTTTCAATCAAAGTTACTAAACTAGTAGAGTTCATGGACCTACTACTACATGTAGTATTTTCAAATCTCCTTAAAAACAAGCAGTTCCAGCATTGTCAGTGCTTGAATGAGATCCATCAAAGGAAAACTAGAGTTTCATGAGCAGAAGTCAGTGACAGTTGGATAACTCTGAATAAATTGCAGTATGGTAATGGAGTTTACTGTGCCATAGATGAGTATATGAAATGATTGGTAGTACCAAACAAGAACTATTTGTGGCCCTTAATAATCCAAAGTATTTAAAGTTTATTTTGTTTCAAAGGAGTAGAAGCACAATGGTTGAATTTTGGTATGAGTTGTTACACAGTACCCACTCAGTGTCACTTTATACCGTGTTCTCTATCATGTCCTGCCCCGAAGCAATTTTGTTGACTTTCTCTCCACTTTGAAACAAGAACTACTTTCCAGCCAGCAGGTGATTGTACCTTAGTGGTGAATAAGTAATTCCTGTATGCATGATTGGTAAATTGCCTTGGGATTCATTGGCATAAAAGTCATTGCATGTGATGCTGTAAATCCCCAAAATAATGGGCTTAGATAATATACAGAAGATTTATATTCTCTTTTATTGCCAGTTTTAGCTACTTGTATATTAAAGCTACATAAACAAATGTAGGATCATTCTATTCATAAAATGCCTTACTGAATGCCTACAATTTGTACTATTTAAGTAATGCTAATCTACCTTTGTTGTGAGATAGAGATCAATGTATCCTTTTGCTCTAAGTATCCAGGTCTCTTCTAAACATGGTCATTACGAAATTTTTTCTGGCACACTTGAGATAATTTGTTAGGCTTGTAATAATGGCTTTTTTGCATATTGCAATACTTCCTTTCATCAGACCATTTTAATTTTCTAATTTGATGTACCTTGAAATCTTTGAAATGGGGTTTTACTGTCTACTTAAAAAGGAGTAATTGAGCTGTTGATTTGGGGGAGTGGAGCAGCTGAGAGCTAGTTTTGCTCAAAGGCACACTGACTAGACATGTGCATGCTGTTCAAGAGATGATGTGCAAATGAAAGAGGCAGCCCAAATAAAACTGTTAATCAAAATGTATCAGTCTCAATATCCAGAGTTTATTCCCTGTTTTTTCCCTCCCCCAAAGCAATTATACCTAAATGTAGAGGTTTTTGAATTTGCACGTTAAGTCAAAGTTTCTGAGCTACTTCAGTCAAGTACTACAACATGTTCTCCTTTCCACATACAACTTATGTCAATATGTTCTTTACTTAGTCAAGATCATACAAAACACATCAGTGAAGTGCCCTGTTCTTTGAAATGGGCTATTTTGAGAGGCTTGTCTATCTCCTTTCCTTGGCTGAAATTCCTTGACTATTACGTTCTTTTACCCTTATAAAAGATTATAATCTCCAGCTTTCTACAGAAGAGAAATGGCTATGGGAAGCATTTTCTGTAAATCAGGTTATGATACTTTCCAGATACATGTGCAGTAAAAGAGAAATAGAAATTTACAACATATGTAAAGTTAAGCAGAATCAGCTTTCATTTGGAAAGTTAATTTTTAGATATTCTGATATTCACATCACTGTTAAAATGTGTTTGGTTTTTTATGAATTTATAAATATATATGAGAGTCTGTGAATGTACACGCTTATAGAATAGGTTTTCTGTGTTAATTCCTTGTGAAGACCTGAAAAAATTATTTTATTAATTCATTCCAGGAATTATTTTTAAGGGTTTCTTTTTTACTTAATAGTCTTACAAAGCTTTCTGGAGTGAAAGAATAATGGAGAGTAAATTAAATTATCTCAAACCGATGCTCTTACCATCATACACTTATGTTTTACTTTAAATTTCCTTTTCTCAGTATGATTAAGCTGAGCATGTCTAATAACATATGAAGAAAGTATCTGAATAAGAATTGTGATTATATACTGTTCCAATATAGTTTCCGCTATTGAGGTGACAGCTAATATCAGCCAGTCAGGATAGATTAATATGTATTTCAGTGATGCTATCACAGTTACTCAGAATTTTAGGGCAAGTTTGGAATTCTATTAGAAGAGGGGACGACTGAAGAAAGTTAAATTAATTAAGATTAAGAGATAAAATGGAAAAAATTGGCAGCAGCTGCTAAGAACAGAAGCTAAGAAGGTGCAGATATATTACACTGCAGTAATTACCAATATCCATATTTTGAGTTGGTAAACAGATATTTCTCAGGGTGGATTCTTTCTTTTACAGTCGCATTTAGATCCGTGTGCATGTATATATGCTTCATAAATAACAGCTATAGGCAATATTATGAGTTTCATAACAAGAGCTTGTTCTCTTAAATTATTAGGGTCACAGTGATGTGAGAAGTACAAGAATGTGGTTCATGTTTTGATTTCACCAAACTATTCACACAAATAAAGTTTTTTGGAGTCTCAGACTGGAAAGCCCCAGGCTGCCAAGTATTTGAGGCACCTCCCGTTCCCCTAGTCTGCTGCAGTGTTGGATGAGAATGCAAAGCTGAAGACTGCTCATATCCCCATTCAAGAACCAACTTCATATAATCGTCTTCGAAAAACTAACTAAAGAGAGCAACATATTTATTTCTCGTACCTAGCATAAGCAAATACATGAATGCAAGAAAATACAGGTACAGATAGAGATTACCATCTACAGCATTTATGCATGCTGTAATGTATTTTTGCAAGCCAGTTACGGATTCCAGAGTCAGTCAGTGATGCCTTAACAACTGAAGTGAGTTGCTACCTTGGTTCATAGCTCTCTGGCTATGAAGGTCCATCAATTGTGCCGTACACTCAGTGCCATTTCCATGGAGCCATTTGAAGATGGCAGCTGCTGGAGGCCACAAGCTGATGAAAGCAAACACAATTGATGACTGCAGTAAAGTGATACATAAAAATTACTATCTGTGCTCCCCCCTTAATTATTCATAACAAAATTCTGCTTTCAGAACTGTAAAATCTCAGAAAATGCACTTTGTTCCTATTGAGTGAATGCTGTAGATTTGTCTTTTTGTGCATTTGTTACAAAAGGCCTTCAAGCTAGCAAGCTTTTTCTTTCAATATTTTTGGCTGACTCTGTCACCGATTTTCATTATGTGTGTCACTATTACTACCGTATAATCTGAACATAAAAACCATGGTGCTGTAACAAATGACTTCACAGCATTGACAGTTATAGCAGGACCATTTCAAGGCTGATGAAAAATTTCCCAGAGAGCTCAGGTCAGGTTTACATAAGCTAAACAGGAAATGATTGCCACCATTCACATTAAATCCTAAATGTTTTGTGTAACTTCATCTACATTTTATGTTCCTGCACGTCTCTCTGTCTTTCTCAGCTGATGAAATTCCACACTTCCTTAGATTAGAGAAATAAGTTCATGTTTCATGGTTTGTTGTTCTTGCTAAGCTCTACAAGGGTTAGGATTTTAAATATATTATTTAAAAGGCAATAAAAAGTTCCTTCAGTTTTTGATTGTTTAAATTTTGCATACTTTGTAAATTTTTATGAATCCTAGGGGTTTGTTATTGCTTTTTCCCAGTGGACTACTAATAGAAGTTAGCCTGTCTAGCCCATGTGCTAGATGCTGTTAGGATAAAACTGCCTTTGACTTTCACACCTCTCAGGGGACAAGTAATTGTTGTGTTCAAACAGCTTGTAATTGTGATCCCGCTGGCTTTCTCAGTACGCTTCTGGCTATTAGAATCATTAAACAATTCAGCACCTGTTAACAGCATTGTAAATATTCAACCCTGCTTGTGTGCAGGTTGAGTCCAATATAGGAGAAGGCTTACAGAGCCCAGCCTCATAAATTAGAGCTTCTGACAAGTCAATTATTGTGAAACTGGGCTTCACTGTGAAATAAATGAAATGGTGTGCTGATAAAAAGGTAGGCTGTCTGTTTATAGCAAAGGGAAAATAATGACTAGATGATTCAATGCAGTGAGCATGAAACTGCATTGTTTTTATCCCTTATCTGTAATTAAATAGTTAGGTAATATAGCTTCATAGAGGAACTCACACACGATGCAGCTTTTATACTTGGAGCATAGCAATATGCAAAATTCAACTTGTATTTATGCATTTCAAAATACTGTCTAATGTCATGATACTCTGTTTGTGCTAATAATTTTAACATAGTCTTTCTAGATGAATGGCTTTGCATTTCTATTAGGGGAAAATGTGCTGAGTGACCAAGAAGCTCCTGTGGGTGTGCTTAAAGTTATATTTACCCCATTATAGATAGTAGTTAAAACAGACTGGTACCACTTCATTCAAGATTACAAACTATTTAAGATATTTCTTTACATTGCTTTATTTTCACTAGGCAGCTAGATATCTATTCCTCTGACAAAAAATTACCAAAAATCAGCAAATTTAAAATTCACATAATTTTCAAAAGGCGTTATAGTGCCTTTTATGATTATGGCTTCAGTGTAAAATAGTGTAAATTAGGATGAGCACAAGATAAAATCTGTTGGAATTGGTCTCTTAAACTACAAGCTTAAAAAAAGAATTTCAGTTTATTGCCCATTTCTCTTCCTTTGTTTTATCAATATTCATCATTGGTGTTGTGGTACTGCAAATAACAGTGCTGAAATGATATGGTGAAAGTCTGAATACTGTGACAACAAAGTGCCTTAATTATAATCATTTCAGTACTGTTATATTCAATTTAGAGGAAAATACTAATGAATCATTATTGGTTTCAATGCGTAAAATAGAAGATCTTTTCACATCCTGAGACAACTTAGGTAGTTAATTTTCTCAATTATTTTCAGAAGGTAAACAAAATTTTACAAAGTAATTTGTGGTAATAAACAGAATCTAAGTGTGTTCCATGATAAGGTGTCAGGCAGATAAAAGGTGCAGATGGAAATATTGTCCATTTTTTATCATTACTGTATTAGTTCAGTGAATTTAAAGGGGGCTCACTAAAATTAGGTTGCACTGAAAACAATGTTAGAGTATTTCTGCTACAAATGTTTTCTTCAGAGAAGGCTGATAGTGTATGGCTGTCTACCATGTAAAACTTTTTAGTCAATATAAATATTTCTTTTGTTTAGGTTTGGTTTTGGACATGAGCTGTGTTTTAAATATTTGAGATCATGTCAGCATGAACCCGGGTACACTATAGTATTACAGAGTTGAATACTCCACTGCCATATATATACACTTTGTTGTTGTCTAATATAGCTATTTCCTCCTATCAGAACAGATTTTTTTTTTTTCTTTTCTTATGGTAATAGTGTGTTACTCCAACCTCACCCAATTCTAAGTGAATGTTCAAAGCATCAGAGAATTAACCCCATAATTTGGGATTAATAAAAAGGAAAAAAAATCTGGAAATGACTGCACTGGTAGTTAGCATACAAGCTTTTTTCAGTTATGCTATTTCTATTCAAAAAGATAAATGTTTAAAACTCTACTTGAGAAAATAATAATGCAAATCAGATTCTGATAATAAAACAGACCATAGAGGATGCTTGTACTATGTAAAACCACAATTCCATCTTTTGAAATTTGTTAACAGCAGCTTTACAGTAATTGAAATAGAGCTTAAATCAGAGAATGGGATTCATCTGCCCAAATATAGCATCAACAACTGAACTGATTATCTAAAGTTCGTTGGGGTTTTTTTGGTAGTGATTACATTTCAACTCATCCTAAAGCAGATACATAAAGTACTGAGATGAATAGCATTCTGCATGTGCACATATCTCTCCATTGGCAGTAAAGGGAGCTAAAAAGACTAACCCAGCTGTAGGTGTAACTGTGTAAGATCAGCTAAAATGAATCTCAGCACACTGTTTTGCAGCTTGTTGTTCACCTGCAGAAAATAACACTGAAGGAACTTTACTGCATGTGGTATTGTTTCCAGTGGGGATGCTGAGTACATCATAACTAGGAAATTCTAGTAAAGCAGCCAGTATGAACAAAGGAGCTTCTTTCATCATTGTAGCAATCCCAGTAGTCTATTTGTGCAACAGTATTTTACAGAATTAAATGAGCAGGGACAGCCTTTTTTTACTGTGCTTTGTAACATTTCAATAGATCTTTGTTTGTTTGTTTGTTTGAATTCCACTTTGAAACTGCGTGATTTAATTGCTCAGTCTAAGTTCAGAATTTTTAAACTTTCTGAGCATGCTCAGTTTCTCTCTACTGCTCATTGAACTTGTTACTTACTGAATTGGTACCTTTGTTAAATCTAGGGCACAAGTTCTAACTACATGTTTGCCTGGAGTTTTCTAGGTAAAACCTCTCCCTGAAATTGTGGTAGTTTGTGTGAATAAGAATCTTATAATACAGCTTACGTTCTACAGTTAAGGAACACAAACTTCAGTCACTGGGTCTGTTTTATAAGTTGGCATAATAGATCATTTTGGCACACTTATGAACATTTTTCCTTTATACAGATAGCTAAGAACCATTGCTACTATATATAGTTTACCTAAACAGTTTTTACCTGAAAAGGAACATGTGAAGTAATCACATTGGCAAATACCCTGTTCCCTTTTTTTTTTTAGCAATTTTAACTTTGAGAATAAAACGACATGTCACCAACATTTGGATTCGTATAAGATTACTTTTTCAACAGATGTCACTATGTGCCTAGTTTTTATTTTCAGAGTTACAGGATGTAAGAACAGTTGCAATCCTTGGTTTTCTTCCGTTCTCTTGAAGTTAAAATGCTGTTACGTGTGTTAGCATTGCTTTTTCACTTTCATGCATATATGATCAGGAAAATACATGTATGCAGTCAGGAAAATTTTCCCACTAACGTCCAGTTCTGTTTGTATCAACTTTTCTATTAATAGACAGACAAATTACCATCTTTCCATATGTACATGCTTGCATCATGTTGGTTACTCCCACAAGCCATTTAGGAATCATGAATTTCTTATTAGACTATATAAGGGAATAGTTTTGTGTTTAATTGTTTAATGTGGATATTTGCTCTTCCAAGCATGTGTGTGTATTACCGCAGCATTGTGAGTTTTCCTACGAGGCATTATTGTTAAAAATCTTCAGAGTGTAAAAAGTATTCATATAATGCATCTGTTTTCAATTTATCTAGTTACTATAACTTGGATGATGTGAGCCATGACACTGTGAATAAGTACCTCTCAAGCCTTGTTGAGAAATCCCTCTTTGATTTGGAATGCTCCTACTGTATTGAAATTGGGGAGGTAAGAGTAATCTGTGCCTTACAAAAATCAGTAAGATACATGCTTCAAGAAGTTCAGAACAGCAAGATACATGCTTCTAATTTGAGCTATTTGTAAGACTTACATTGGAAACTGATCTTAATTGGGGTTGCAGCTAAATTATGATGCTAAATCATTTTTTGCTGTTCTCTCTTATAAAGTAGTCTTAAAATATTTTACAGTTTTGTAGGAACCATTTATAATGAATTATGTAGGATCCATGTGTATTTGATTCCTCTTCCAACAGGATAATTGCAGCATTGAACCTCTGACATATGGCCGCATTGCTTCCTATTACTATTTGAAGCATCCAACTATTGGAATGTTCAAAGATCAGTTGAAACCTGAAAGCAACATTGAAGAATTGCTCTTAATTCTGACAGTAAGTGCTGATACTTTCTTGACTTAAACATGTAACTCATGACTCATAAAAGACACAAGTGTATGAAAAAACACCGCAAAATTAAGAAAAGCCTTTCTTCCCCATCTATAATTTCTTTTTGTTTGGTTGGTTTGAGTAATACAACTGAATCATTTTTGCTGTTTCAAGAGTTTCATCTAAACCATACTTGAAAATGCATGTTTCTCTTATGTCCCTTTATCATATTCAGGATCTATACAAATCTTGTATTTGTTTTTCTCTGGGTAAGTTAGGTATAATTCTAAAATGCCAGAATAACAACTACATATCAACATCCTAAATCTGTACCAAGGCTTTGTACTTTGCACTGGGAGAATTTGGACGATACAGCAGCTTTAAAAAGTGGGGAGGCATATGGGGAAGGCCTGTTTCCTAAAATGCCTTCTTTTCCTTCTCCCAGCTGCCTCATGATCCCTGAGGTCATAACCTGCAATAATGCCATACAGTTAGTCTAGTGACTGTTTAATAGAGAAGTACAATACATGGCAACAGATTCTAGGGTACAAATCTAGAGAAACAGTGTATAATGCAGTGTGATACTATTATATTCCCATTATAGAAGAATTAGATTTTACTACATTTTTTATTTTAAGTACTTAAGTAATTATATCTACAAAATCTTCTTTTTCAAAATAGTGTTACTTCGCATGTACACACATATTAAAAGCAAGAAGTACCCAAATATTATCCAGGAAAACTTATTTCTGCCCATTCATGATGATAGTCTCTGTTATAATATATACATTAGACAAGTGGCCCAAATTCTTAAATACTCTGATTTCCAAGTGTGAACTTCAAAACCTAGAGTCCTACCTTACAGTATTTATGTATGTTACTTTTATACTCACTATTGCTTTGACATACTGCCAAGACTTCTCTGAGGAGAGATACAAGAAGTAAAATAGAAACAATGCTATTCAACAGTTTGCATCTCAACAAAACCTGATCAGCATTTTATGACACTAGGAAAGCCAGTTTTCTAGTACAGAGACTTTCTTTCTGATAAATTTAAATCACCTGCTGCAAACATTCAGAGTGTTACAGCTCAGAAATAAAGGCCACGGTAATCTTTTATAATGGCAAGTGTTAGACAGCCTAAACAGGGGAATTGCTATCACTGACCCTGCAATATCTCTTGTCCTGTTGTTAGAAAACATTGCAAATTTTATGAAATAAAATTCAATGTATTTGGCTGAATTCAGAATGGTAATCAACCACAATTCCAGTCTATGCTGTATGTAAAATAATTGAAGTTTTAAGAAGAAATAACCACTAGTGAACAGAAGTTAAATAATATAATGTTGAGTTTTCAAGGTGACAGCTTTACTTTAGCTGCCATCTCTTTAAAATCTCTTTTCCCTAGAGAAAATTTTCTCCACCTAGAAACTTCAGATTTTTTTTTTTTTTCCCCCCACATAAATTTGGACAGGGAAAGTTTGAAAATAGTATTTGCAGAGATGGGGAACATTTCATGATGCTGCCTAAGCTAATGAGCAGCATATGGAAGATGAATGATGGAAGCAGAAGCTAGTGTGGCCTAGTTTCTATGTTCATCTATTTGAACAGCTTGCGTCCATGAAGCGCAAAGGTAAATGGCAGATATTTCTGTTGTAGACAAAACATAGGACCCTGCTGTTGGGCAGAGATTGATAAATTTAAAATTCATTAGTCTTGCTTTAATTCTTTTTTTCTATCTCTTTTCTTTTTTAATTTTTTTCTTTTTTTTCTTTTTTCTTTTCTTTTCTCTTCTCTTCTTTTCTTTTCTTTTCTTTTAATTTTTCTTTTTTCCTGGAAATATGTATAGTCTTGGAAATTGTCCATTTAAAGTCTTAAGAGGAATGAGACTAAAAATAAAATTGATTAGGGGTCAAAATGTGCCATATATCAATTTGAAAGACGAAAAGGATCTATGAACACTGGATGCCATTATAGCTGACAGTTTTTCCTTACTTTTTATGCAGATGTCGATTTTCATAATTTCTAGTGGAATTACTATTCTGTCTTGTTGAAGGTGTAAATTGAAGGGTGGGGGTTTTTTTTCTATCTGATGTAGTGTTGAAAAGACTTGCCATTTCAACAGAGTTATTGCCAAGGATTTTTTTTTTCTCCTAAACACTATGAATTAATGAGTTTTATAATTACAGCAGTTGCTTCACACCTCTATTGTTAACCAATGACATTACATCTGCCTTGCTCCACTGGTGCCCTCCTCCTTCTTATTGAAGCATTTAACAGTTTTGGCAATAGGGAATTACATGGCATGGGGCAAGTAGTCTAATTAGGTATAAGTGAAAATCCTTAGGGAAAAGGATATTTTAAAAGTAATTTGAAGAATCTCTTAATGATGCTGGAACTGAAAGCTGTAGCTATAGAACAAAAAGGCCTGTTATCACTGCAAAACATGATTATAATTGTAATTATTCTGCTAATCATTCTGGTTTAAAGTTTTGAATTTTGGACTGTGTTACTGAAGAATAAGCATCCAAAACATTTCTCAAGCAGAGTTGCAGGATTTTGTAGATGTGACATGTAGGTCTTTTTTTTTGTTGGCATTGTTCACAATCTTGCAAACTTTTAGACATCTGCAAGTTGGCTGATACATATAAGGAAGGCAGAAGTGTACAATTGTAACAAAGAAAATACTGATTCTGTGGGTTTGAAATGGGATATATTCAATTTTTTACTTCATTGTCAATGTGTACCTTGAAAAGAGCAATAGTTTCTTTAAAACAAAACCAGGAAAAAAACAAGATTGCATTCAAGAATTCAGAAATTTATAATCGTATTCAGGGGTGTAAATCTGAGTTTGATTAAGGGATTTTGAGTTTTAGATTGATATTTTGCCATGCTGATGGGAACATTCAGAATTCATGATCATTCACCAATGAGTTATTAAGGAATCTGCAACTCATGAAAAAGTAGTTTTGAGTCATCATATTTCTGGTGCTCATGGGTTTCTCAAGAAAGTCAGTTGATGGCAAGATTTGTTTTCACTTAGAAGTTAAAACCATTCATAGTCTCCTCCAGTATCTGTTCTCTTCTCTGTTTTTACTTTATCTTTTCATTTGATCATCTGCCAGCATTTTGCAAGATCAAATGTTTTTTCTTTTTCAGTATGGTTTAGGGGTTGAAGTATCTATGACATGAACAGGAACATGGCACATGGGAACAGCCTCATAGTCATGTTGGAAGTGTACTGTAATAATTGATATAAATAGGTAGGGTACAATCCTCTCACGCTTTCTCCTCTCCTCTCAGTAAATCTGTGCTCGAGATGTTTAATCTGTCTTGGGTTTGCAGTTAGCAGGTGAAGTTCAGATTCAGTGACTTTTGGAACTGACTTGTGCTAGTGGGCCTGTGGTTTTTCTGAGGGACAATGTTTGATGCTTTTCCATAGCTTTCTTTAAAACTTTCCTAACCGTGCTTCAGACAGTAGTAATCCAAATTAGCTTATTCACTGTTGAGTTACGGTGCTTCTTGCATTAAGTATTCTTGATGCGAAAGTGTTCATGAATTACTACTGACAGGCTGGATTTCCCTGAGGTACCTAAAGACTGTTTCCTTTTATTCTGAAAGTTAGGTGCAGAGATTAAAACAAACAAAAAACACCAAAAACCAACCAAAAAACAAAAAACAAAACACCACCACACCAAAACAACAGAGAGGTACTTTGGGGTAATTTTTGTCATTTTCTGTACTAAGGCAGCAGTCACAACAACTGTTTTCAAAAATCAAATGTAGGTTTGTTGTACTTTGAGGAAAGGAGGTCTGTTGATTACTGATCAGGACTGTGATGTCTAGATCCCCTGTGTTATGATTTTGGGTGATTTGTTACTACACTTATCTGGTTAATATGCTTATTTACAGAGCAAATACTTTGTCATATTTGTTCATACCAGACAGGGGAGAACATTACCATCTTTCATCCCTTGTTTTATGTGCATGTTGTCCCTTATTTCTGTTTTTTGAATTCTACCTACAAGAGAGATCTGGTTGGTTTTCTTTTGCCTGCTGCTATCTTTCATGTAAACTGGTTGCAAGAGATGGGTTCCTTTCTTACTGGGGAGCTTAGGAACAGAATGGTATTTGTGTTATAGTGGGACATATATATCACATCCATCTTTCTGTGATATAAATGTGAGCTTAGAAGTTTGGTATCCACATATCTCCTCCTTATTTCTATCTGATAATTGACATGGTTTTGTTACACTGGCTTGTATTAGACTAAGTATTTTGGAACTCAGCAGAAAATCTGGCATTGCTGGAATCAGAGAAATATAGAAGAAGGACTTTCATGAAACAAGCACTCTCCATCCCAGATACATAGGTAACAAAAGAGTAAAGTTATTAATACTTTATCTGTTTTTCATTACCTGTTAGGCATTTGTACTCTGAGATTCTAGATGACTTATTCTATAGCTTTACTTTCTGTTCATCACCATTGGCACATCCTATTATAATCAGGGAAATATGCAAGTCTTTGTGAATATTTACACTCTCAGTCTAAAATAATTTTATTTCTGTAGCAGAATTTTATCTTAAAGCTGCTGATTCAGTCTCCCATGAAGAGGCCACAGAATTTTTTGACTGAATGATAAACCATCTTTTCAACTGGCCTCAAGTTAGATGCCAGGGAAGGAGGAATTATAAGTTACAAAAACAGTCTAAGAACAAGCTAATGTGAGCTGTTTTGTGGAATATTTTCTCTGCACGTATGGCAGAAACATTGATTTTCTGTTCTATAGCCATTTCAGAAAAAAAACAGATCACTCTTCCTAAGTCAGTGATTTTCTAGCTTAAATTTAAAAAAAAGATGCGACTATGATTTTCTTCAAAGCATGAAAGTTCAGCAAGACTATATTTGTTTGTTTCAGTGTCAAGAATAAAAATAATTTATCACATAAACTTTATCACAAATTAAGAGCAATTATGTTACATGCTAGCCTTTAAAGCACTTGCAT